CCCAGTAACAGGCTTTAGCTGGATTTAGATCATTGGCCAACACAGATATGATGCGGTTTAGCTGTTCCCCAGCTGTACACCCTTTATCTAAAGCATATCCCTTAGATCCTAACTAAAGTCGACCACGTATGCCGACGTACCTCAGCTGCCCCCAGCACTGGGACCCCTTACCCCCCTCTCCATACTTCTGGATGCCAGGCATAGTTGCCTAATTAAGCGGTTGTAGAGCGTTCACTCTTGACGTGCCCTCAGGGCGTGCCAAGCAGGGCACATGTGCTGGATGAGGGAAGGGGTGGAGGGTAGATCTGTAGAAGGTGAGCGGAGTCATAAAATATGGGGTTCTGTCAGAAAGGTTGAAAGAGGAGGAGGAGGGGGGATTGGGACCAGGGCAGAGGGGACCCACCGAGGGAATTTGTTCCACTCTGCCAGGGACATGATGGGGGAAGGGGTCCATCATCATCCTCTTCTTAGCATGTTTGAATCTGGCTCACCTTGCTACAATTAAAACTAAGAACATTTGCAGAGCATACGAAATAAACTGCTTAGCATGCGCCACAATCATGCACCAAATCGCATTCAGACAAGGATGCCTCTGGCTGCAATACAGACTTTATAAAAGCACACATGAACTGATAATTAGACCGTGCCAAGCTAAATTGACCCAGTGACACATATTACTCTCACACTCATTGACTTCTGGCACGTTTTTGCATCGCAAGATGATGTTAATAGAGCATAATTTAGTTAGTATTAACATGAGTCCTCAGGCTGCAGGACTGAAGAAAGCTAACCAGCAGTCTGTCAGCTGTCTGATGCTCTCACTTTGGGGCAACTTTGAAAGAAATGAAATCATAAATATGCGAATGGACTTATGAAAGAAAACTTCAGCTTCAATAAGTCCTGTGAAATCGGAGCGGGTCAGCTCTGATTTTGATCATTTCTCTGGCAGTTATGGGGCAACCAGTCTGGCCTTCTTTGTTTTTCTTCGTCTAGCCTTTTTTTGAAGAGAGACAGGAGAAACAAACTATGACATGACTTGACTTTGACAGCTTGTATTTAGAGAGGATATGTTGGCTGACCTCTTTGGAAAACTTTTGCTTTTTTATTTCATTTCCCGGAACAGGAAGATTGATCGCACTCTCATGTCTCTCATGGAAAACGGAAAGTGTCTTACAGAAAGTATTTATACCCTATAAAATATTTTACGTTTAGTAATGAAAAATAAGTAAACAAACTAATTATTTACTTATGACTGAAATTATTTGCTGGATTTGTTCCACAAGTTCACAGCACATGTTTAATTTTTTTTTAATTTTAAGATAAACAATAATAGTGGCATTATTATAGTAGTTTTAATAAAGATAATAATAATGCAAGTTTTCCCTTTTGAAGACTAATGCACCTTAATCTACACTGAGTTTGCACGTATGCATGGGTTTTCTCCGGGTTCCTCCCACAGTCCAAAATCATGTCCGTCACGTAAATTGGTCTCTCTAAATTCTCCCAAGGTGTGAGTGTGTGTGCATGGTTGTCTGTCCTGCGACAGACTGGCGACCTGTCCAGGGTGACCCCGCTTCTCGCCCGGAACATTAGCTGGAGACTGGCACCAGCACCTGTCCCGACCCCACTACAGACACTGGTGTTAGAAGATGGATGGATGGTCACCCCACAGTGAAATTGGAAGACATTTTAAATATCCAAAATAAAACAAAGAAACCAATAAATGAAAAGGAAATAAAAACACAACTGAAATCATAAATAATGTAGATTATAGTGTCTAATTTATCATCAGATTAATTGCAACAGGTGTACCTCCAAGATAAGCATTTTAACAACACATTTTTAACAAAAAAAAGCTTCTATTTTTCTCTTGCATATAACGCCTGGATTATAACCAATAAAACGAGCTGGAGAATCGAAATAAAGAAACATGGAAAGACACGATGGAGTCCATGTTCCTTTGACTGAGCCGCAGATAGAAGCAGCTAGTCAAAGACGACTCTAATTTCCTCTCCTCCTCGCCTGGCTGACACGTTGACATGCACTCCTATTTCGCACACAGAGACAGGAGTTACAGCACTGTCAGAGCAGCTGTGACAGAGCCTGCTGCATGAAGGAATGCTACCCATATGTCAGGCTGCAGATCGCTCGTCACCAGCAGCCAGGCTGCAAAGCTTCTTCAAGCCCTCCACCCCCTCATCATCTTCTTTCTGCTGCTTCTGCTGCAGTGTGAGGCACTTCTTAGGGCTTGATTGCGGGAATGTGTGACCCTGCTTCTTGTGTGCGTGTGTGTGTGTGTGTGTGTGTGTGTGTGTGTGTGTGTGTGTGTGTGTGTGTGTGTGTGTGTGTGTGTGTGTGTGTGTGTGTGTGTGTGTGTGTGTGGGTTATCTGCACCATCCCGTCTGATAGCTTAAGAGATTACGTGCCAGTGAAAAATTCCACAAACCAACCTTCTTGCCTAAATTTCACAGAGGGTTTCAGTCTTTTTTTTTTCACCCGTGCCTCTTTTTATGAATGTCAGCACTTCCACCTTCTCTGTTGGAGGCTAATACTTCAGCTGAGAGGAGGAGACAAGCGTCAGGTCCACAAAGATCAATCCGGAACAATGCTGCTTGTTGGTTCATGTCAAACATATCAGAGTAATTCAGGTTTTCTTTGTCCTGCTCAGACCGAATTTCAGCCTTCAGCTTATAGACAAAACCTACTGTAGATGTCAAATTCAACATTTTGTTTAAAAAAAATGAACCTTTCAGGGACACACATTGTTTTATGTTATCTTTACCAAAGAAGTTGAGACTCTTTTCATGGACATCATACTGACCTGTTTGCATTGGGTCCAAACTTTGTCCAACAAGTTGCCCATGTTGGACAACATGAGCAACACGGGCAACTAAACATGTCCAACGTATTTGGTTTTTGTTACCCAAAACTAAAGTGTGACTCAGAATGTTAATGTTTTCTGGATGATAAAACTTAAACTTTTGTCTCCTCAGCTCAAGATTCAGGTCAAATCTGAAACTTGCAGAAAATGTTTATTCTGATGACTTGTTTACAAGTCATAATTTTTAAGTTTGTGTTTGTTTTGAATTTGTATATGCTGTTATCATGTCACTCATCTGTCCTCCATAATAACCTTTGCTGTACATACAGTTGAAACAAGATGACAAGACAATGTAGCTATTTTCCCTCACAGATTCATTCAACCTGTTTTATACAAGCTAAGAAACTCAGATACTGATTATTTTGCAGTATATATGTTGTGAAATTTTTCCAATAATATTTTAGTACCAGGGTATTAAGAAAAAGAGAACAAACCTTGAAAAAGTAGACGCTTTTCCAAAAGGGCAGTGTCAGCACTGGCACCACATCTACCATGGATGTGCCAAACTGCATAATCACACCCTGGAGCGACAGGTTTGTTATTAGGGTACCTGATTTGATGAGACATGTAACGTTCATGATAACTGAGAGGGGAATCATAAAAAAGGCAGAAAGAGATAGGAAGAGGAGCACAGAAACACCTCTGCTTATCCAAAAGACGATCAAGCTGATTTTATACTGCTGCAGCTGTATAAAATCAGCCTTGCAGCAGCAAATATGAAATTTATCAGAGGTTGCTGATTCCCCCAACTGGCCTGTCTGCTGTTGTGTAAAGGTAGCGGATAAGCTGTATCCTGTGTGATAGCTCAGGAATGGCAAACATTTAGGCCACTTCATTTATACGGTTTCATCAGAGAGCCAACAGAGACAAGCTGATAACGGCAAAGATGTGGCAAGTCATGTGAACCACAGCAAACATTGTGACGGAGCAAATGATGGATGGCTGAGAGGAAGAACAGAGAAAAAAGCAACAGAAACAGAATATTAAGGAAATTCTTTACCTGAAAGGAAAGTTTTATAATATTTTGGATAAAATGATAAAAGTTTTACTGCAACACTCCAAACAGTAAAGTTTTTCCACCCCTTCTTTCTCAAAGGATAAATAAAACTATGGTTTTCTTTCATGAATACCCTCCTTTTATGTTTTCGTTATATATATTTTTCTATTTTTTTGTCCTGTCTTTTCTGCCTCAGATGCAACACAGCAATTAAAGGCTTAATTATTAAGAGTTTATTCTGAAAACTGACATGCATTACACAGCATTAAAGTCATAGAACAGGATTTGTGCATAAACAAAACAACTTGGATTCAACCAGCTGTTCAGTGACTGTATCTTTAATTTTTTTGTATAAACATTATGTAAAATGTCCTGCAAAAATATTCACAACCCTCAAATGTTTTCACAAAAGATCGTCTTAAAACCACAAAGTTGGAAGGATTTTATTAGATTTTTTTGTGATAATTAAATGCAAAGTAATCCATATTTTGAAGAAACAGAGAGGAAATGGATACATTGATTGCAAAATAATGTGGTAAACATGTATTATAAATCCATGTGGAGAAGCATTTTCAAGTCATTTTGTATCAAGCAGCTTTGCACTTGTGATGACTGGAACTTCAACCCATTATTATTAAGTTCAGTCCTTTTAATCTAAGTCATGTTGTTGTAGCTCTGGCTGTAAGATCTGGTTAATTGTCCTCCTGAAAGGAAACTTCTACTGAAGTCTCAATTTAAAAAAAAAACATTTAGCAAGTTTTCTTCCAGGAATGCTTTGCCTTTTACTCTATCCATCTTCCTTTGGCCTTGATTAGAAAATGAAGATATATTATCAGTCGTCCTGAAGTCAACACAGACAATGTGCCACCAAGCTATCAGCTGCTCACGTCATAAGAACCTTGAGTTCAAATAAATCCCCCAAATAGCTTTTTGCTCTACTTTGATAGTTTCTGATAAGCTTGAACTTCGAACTTACAGAAGAGTTAATGTCTCAACTCCTCATACATCAAAAAGTGTTGGACATATGTAGAATTTTTTTTTTGTCTTTTTGATATATTTTTAATTGAAATTGGTGTGTTTAACTCAGGACATAAACATTCTAACATAAAAATTGACATCATAATATGTCCATCAAATGTTTATTTTTTATTGATTTATCACAGAAGTAACACTTGCAAACAAAATTCAGGAATATTTACTTAAATGGAGCTTTTAAAGACGGTATAATAATAACAAATACAGGATCTTTGCAATAACTTAAGCCATGAGAGGCGACTTCATACAAGCATGTTGTTTTGCTTCAATAACATTCCTCTGTGGGAGTAAACAGCTCTATGAACATGATTATGTAGAAAACAAATCTGGAAAAAAAAAAGAGCAAGAGAAGCCATGAAACAGTGTAATTAGAATGAACTTTTCTTGATGTTGGGTTTCTCCAGACATCCCAACATCCCGGTGGTTGTTGGGATATTGGCATGTATGGGATGCATTCCCAGTCAGTGGATAAAAAAAGCACTGCAGCACAGCTTGAAGGTTCACATTTAAAAACATGGTATTGCTCCCCGTCTACAGCAGATGACTGCGGCCGTTCACTGCAAAAACACAACCTTTTGGCAAGTATTTCTGAACTAATTTATATTGCAAATATCTTAGTACACTTGAAATAAAACAAAACTCCTTCGTAACTTTTCAGCAAGACATAAGAGCTTGTTCAAAAACGCCTTAATATTGATGAAAAAGTTCCAGTTTCATTCCCAGATCATTTCACTTGTAACAAAACAGTTTTCCCATGTCATAAGTATTTTGTATTTATTTAAAAATAAAAAACAGAGCATGCATAAACAAGAACAAAATAATTTCTTTACTGCTACTTTTCTATTTGAAAAGGAGTAGCAAAACTTATTTAATCCCCTTATCTCAGTTTAATAAAATATTTTACCTACTGACTGAACAGACAAAATGGTTACAAACGGACTGTCAAGAGACAAGAAAATGTACAGATAATACTAATAGTAGCAATGTTAATTGTAAATAACAACCTGACATACAGCTAAAGTTCTCTGTATAACGTGAGTAACATAGGCTGCGTTCACACTGCAGCATGCAGTGACCCAATTCCGATTTTTTGTCAAATCGCATTTTTATAGACCGTGATGGTTGTTGTTTTTCTTCCCGCTTGCGCATATCAAGACGCAGAACAGTGACGTGTGTCGAGTATCAGTGACGTTCAGGTGGGATGAGTGTGACCCAGATGTTAGGCCACATTAGAATCTGATACACATTGGATCCCCATCTCTCATTACGTAAAAAAAATAATAATTTGGAATTGGGTCGCTTCAGGCTGCAGTGTGAATGCAGCCACAGCTTTGTATTTCTTTTTAAACTGGTTGATGCTTGGACATTGGACAAGTAAAATGATCTGCCAATGAAACTAGTTCTTATTCATCAAAATTAAGGAATTATTGATTCAAAACAAGGTCCTATATCCCGATGAAAAGTTCCTTGTAAGTTAGTTTTGTCTTATTTCAAGATATTTACACTAGAAACTGGACTTGGTAGGATTTTGTGTTTTCGCAGCGATCCAACCAGAAACATGTTGAAGACACAGCTTCTCACTGATGTGACCCGCCGTCACCTTCGCTGAGACTCTAATGCTACAAAGAAAAGGTGAGGCCTGCTTCTCTCGGAGACGTCACTCCTCCTCTCCGTCGGAGATATAGGCATGGCCCTTGCTCACACTGTTGCTAGGCAATGCATTAAATTCTGCCGCTGTGCACGTTGCTGCGCGTCCCGGTGCGGGCCTACAAATCATCAGGCCCTCCATTAGCCAAGCTGTCAACAGCATAATGCCAGGAGACTCCAGTGCACAACAATAAGCAACACATCCAGCAAAAACAAACAAACAAAAAAATAAAAATAATAAATCTTCTGCTTTCCGTAATGACTGGAGAAAAAAGAAAACACAGACAGGACCAGCCTGTTCAAGGGATTCAACTCCTGTTTTGTTCTCGTGGGATTTACTCTTGAGTGCAAATTGGTCCTGTTAGCTTAAATATACAGAGTTTACGTAAGTTTGTGTTGAATAAAGCCTTAATTGGGTATTGAGGTGACAAAGTTTTTGCATAACAGAGCTAAATTTAGTGTAAGTATCAGAAAATCTTTTGTTTCGGAAAGGAGCATTTTATTTTCACAGAAGCATGCAGCACAAACCCCAAAACCTAAATGACAATGGCAGAGAAAAAAAGTGATAGCCCATGATTTTTGAAGTGGGATTCTGTAGAAGGTTATGAATAATTTATATTTCTCCTGCAGTACATAGTTCTCTCACCATCCACCGTTGCTCCTGGAGACTATAGAAAACAGCTAATCAGAGTAGCACTCCCATCTTTTATTATCTTAAAAATATCACAGTAACAAAAATGTCATTGTAGTTTATGCAATGCTATTTTATTAATCTTTGAATTATTGTGATATTTGCTTCTTCACAAAGGCTATGTTTATTTAAACAGGTATATACTATTATATTATTTTTTTATGCACTGTATTACTCACTGTATTACTTTTTTATCATTTTTTTCTGAGTTGAAAAATTGTTTCACAGGGGAGCTAATTGATGGCACGCCGACTCCATTCTCTTTTTCCATTGTAAACTAACATAGCTCATCTATAAATAACCAACAATGCAAACTTGACAGCAACTCAAAAGTTTATAAAATGATATCTGCACAAACCAATGAAACATTTTTTAGAGGAGAGTTTTTAGGACTATGGAAGTCTGTGTTGTGGACTAGCAGTTAGCGTTTGCATTTGTCACCAACTAATCTAAATTCATACAAATTAAGATGCTGTGAGAGTCATCAGATGTAAAGAGGAAAATATTGTAATGTCCAATGTTTTTATCCAGGTTCATAACAAGTCCATAATAACAACACTCTGGTGTTAAAGTTCTTACAATGGGAAGAAGACTGTTTCCATATCTTCAGTTCATTCTGGCTATGAATGAGAGCAAGATTTTCAGCAAATACCAGTAAGGCTGACAACTGTCATGGCTCATGTTGAATTTTCAAGTGTTAGCAGGGTTTCAGAAATCACAAATCATGACCTTTTAAAGGAACTCTGCTTCAAAAACTCTGAACTTTCCCTTCGAGAACAAGAAGATCATGGATGAGGATGGCACAATATTGTTGTGTTTACTTTCAGCTCTTTGCTACAAGATCCTACATTCTGTGGAGAATGAAAGGCATAAAACATGCAGAAAATGGTATATCAGGTTTAGTTTTATTTTGGGGTGCTAACTGATTATTCACTGGTGTGATATCTTCTGGCCAGGTTTCAGGACAGTAGGCTGTAATGAGTAGATATTTGTAGAACCAAGCTGAACAGTTGTTCCCCTTATTGTCCATGAGAAAGAGTATTTCTGAAACATAGATAATTCATAGACCTATTTTGGAGCACAAAAAAATCCTCTTTTCTTGGTCTCTTGTATAAAAAAAAGACTAAGAAAAAAATAAACAAAATGAAAATTGAACCCATTAAACCATAGGTGTCAAACTCTGGCCCGCGGGCCAAATTTGGCCCGCAGTGTAATTATATTTGGCCCGCGAGCCAATTTCAAATTAATATTAGACATTTACATCAGAAAGGAGGCATTACATTTTTATTTAAATTTTATTTAATATTTTATTTCATATATTAAATATATTTTATTTAATATAATATGTTTTATTATTATTAGCAACTCAATTTTGCACACTTGCACTTTTAAGTTAGATAAGCTTTGCTTCTTCAATATTTATTGTTATATTAGAACTTGTTTGGGTCCATATTAAAAGATTCATTTGTTCAACATTGGCCCGCGACTTTGTTCAATTGAAAGTTTTGGCCCACTGTGTATTTGAGTTTGACACCCCTGCATTAAACAGTCTGGAAATGTCAGTCCTCCATTAACACCACTAAAATAAATACCTATGGTTGCCGAAGTCGTGTGGTGATGGTGCATGGCAGAGAACCTCCTGAAGACAGGTGGAAAGTATTTAACAAAATGCATCCACCCTTTTCGACCTTGCGTCTCATGTTAGTGCTGAGTCACATTGCACTTCTTCACGGACTCAATTTGTCCTCCCACTGCCTTCTGCAAATGAGCACACCACTTGCCAAATCCCTCCCTTTTTGTCATCTTTTTTGTTCTGCTGTCAACTTTAATTTCAAAGTATATATTACTGCAAGGGCTTCTGGCGGGAGAATAATTTTTTAAGATCTCCTCATCTAGGTTTCTGCAGATGCAGCTTCATTCTCAGATTTTACGTTCTCATCACTCAGCCCATGCTGTGACCTTTAAAAGACATCCAGACAGAGAGATGGATGGGATTCGGCTCTGCTATCAGAGCTTTAAATGGATTTCATCACTTTAATGGAGAGGATACAACGCTTCCTTCATGGACGAGCTAAGATACAGAGCATTGTTATGCTGACTCACAACCACCTTTATGAGGGGCTGTAACATGTTATACTCCATTTGTACAGGATCATGAAACTCCACTTCAAATAGGTTCTCTCTGTGGAAACTGTGGCAGCCAGGAGTTAGAGGAGGATGATGCAAAAGAGTAAAAAGTTTTGTGAAAATCTCGATGATTGCTCTCTTTCCCTTGCAGACCTTGAATCCCACCTGAACCAGGTAGAATACTGTTCTCTTGTCCTCTCTTTCCATACTCCGACCTCCTTACTGTGTTCACATGATGGAGCAACTTTTGGACTTGTCCTTACTAAAGGTGGAGGAGAGGAGATCCGTCTTGTTGGGAAGGTGCAGCAGTCTTTTGGAGAGGCGGCGGACCGGGCTGGGTTTGTTGGGAGGCTGCAGTTTATTCATGCAGGCAAGAGCTGCGGTACGAAAAACACTGTGGATGCTCTTTTCCGAAGTAAAAGCCGAGCACTCCAGATAAGCTTCAGCTCCGAGCTGCTTGGCCAAAGATGAACCCTAAAATGAAGAGGAGCGTTTTCTAAAAAAGTGTTTTGGTCAATGAAAACATCAACAAATGTCTTTAAATTGGAAAGTATCATGAATTTAAGTGCAGATTTTAAGTTTAATTAATTATATGAGTGACATTGCTTGCTTCACATTTCTCCTTGCGAAAGAAATGGAAGCATATTACAAAAAATAATATTTGTGCTATAGAGTAACCTAAAAAAGACATAATACAATTTCTTTTGTCACTTTTATTACTATCACAATAGTGTAACAAAATATTATATTCAAATTTTAAGTCCATATTGCCCACCTCTAATTGAGAAAGTCATATTAGTACATTAAGAAGGAAAAGGTAACCAATAAAAGCTCACCTGTTCATGGGAGACTGGAGCCTGTTTCTGATTGGATAGCTCCATGCGTGTGCACACATCCGTTCTCAGGTCTGTCTTGCAGCCTATGAGCAGGATTCGAGTGTTGGGACAGAAGTCCTGAATCTCTGCTTTCCACTGCAAATAAAACAAGCAGGTTTATTATTGTTATTAATTATCCTTACTGTAGATAGTAAAGCAAATATGCCACCGAGCAGGAACCTCAGCTGCTCATACCTTCTTCAGAGCACCATCTACTGTGTCCGGCCGGCTGATGTCAAAGCATAGCAACACTGCGTCTGAGTCGCTGTAGCAGAGGGGCCTGACGTTGTCGTAGTATGGAGAGCCTTAAGGGGAAGCAAGTAGTCAGATCAAACCTTTATATAGCTGAATAGGAGGTTTGACATGGTAACAATTAACATAAAATCATAAATATAATTTGGCTCAATGATATATGTGTGTCATATCAGTCGATATGAATAAATATTGATTAGAGTTTTTATTTTAAATATCTGAAATACTGCCAAACTTGTGGTGTGACATTTTCTGTTTTAACCACAGTTTTCACGCCATACTGGTTTTTTTTTTTTTATGTTTTGAGCAGTTATGAGGCACAATGGCAAAACCTGAAACTAGTGCAGTGCAAATTACTCAACAAGTTGTTGCTAAGTAACCAAAGAGTCAGTGAGTTAGTTGTTGCCACCAACCTTGCAACCTTGGTCGAGTGGCTAAAGTCTTTTCTCTGCCTACATTCCCCAGAATGGTTCTGGATTGGAGTTCAGTAAAATTTTCTAAAATTTTATCAGATGTATTATCTGCTGATTTTGATCACGTGTCAATCACATTATATACTGTTATTGATTTATTTTCCATCCCTAATTTATCACCACCACTTCCTTTGTATCTACACAAGAGAAAATCTAACACTACTAAAAGGAAAGCAAACTCACGAGAAAGAGCAAATCTCTGCACATATTCTTTGTCTGTTTAAAACCAGGGTTCAATAAATGATTTAAATTAATATATTAAATTTTAAATAAGCCACACAATACATTCCTCTTTGCAAACTGGAAGAAAACCTGCAAGCAGATGCTAAGGTTGCAAATCTAAACATACAGCTAGAGCTACATTAGAGTGGTTTAGACCAAAGACCATTTAAGTCCAAAACCAAAGTCCAATTGAAAATCTGCATTAAGACTTCAAAATCCGTCTTATCTGCCAGAGCTTGTGCTTTCTTGCAAAGAGTGAGCAAAACATTCCACTTCTAGATGTGCAAAACTTGTAGAGACGCAGCCTAGAGGCTTTGCTGCAAAATGTAGATGTACAAAATATAGATGCAGGTGCATCTATATTTTGTGGCATAAAAATGCCACAGATTTTACATATTGTTTGTTTCAGTGAAAATTTTAAATTTAAATTTCCCCCCAGTTTACAATTATCGGTGTTGATGTGTCATATAAAATATCAATTACATCCATTACTTATGAAGATTTAATATGACAGTATGTGAAAAAGATCTATGGCTATGCATATTTTTGCAAGGACCTGAACTTCACACCTAGAAATTAAATATTTAACAGCAGTGATGCATAACACCTCAAAATGTTTCCTCAGATAATTAACTGAAAACAAGACCAATCACTCAAAACTGTACATCAGATTAGTTGTGTTCGCTGGCCTTGGGATTCCCCCTCATGTATTGTGAAACGGAAGAATGAAGGAAACAAATTCTGCTTGCATTTCTATAAACAGAACAAGTTCCAGAGCTAAAAACAAATTGGCAGGATGTCCGCACTCTATTGTCTTCCCTCTGCCACCTAATCACTACCTACACAACCACAGCAAGCTTCAATTTCCTCGTCCTGTCCTCTGGGGCCAAATGTGCACAAGAAGCAAATATAAGAAATGTAATTAGGACGGGAATAGATGCTTCTGCTAGCAAGAGCAACCAACAATCAGGGCATCCTGGTGAAATGTAATATTTTACACCAAAGGTTTTATTTAGCCTGTCTTTATCGTTGACTTAACTTTGCAAAGTAGGATGCGTTACACAAGTTGCATCTGTCAATATACTTTTGTGTTCTGTTTATGGAAAGCAAAATCCATGTCCCATATAACCATCCGAGGTGATGTAAGACTTGAGAAAGAGGAGGCAGACAGATCTAAAGAGGACACAACTTGCTCCTCCCGCCTCCCACGTATTAGCACCTCCACTTCGCCTGAACACACAAATAATGCTCACTCACACAAAGACGCACAATGCTTTTAGCTGAGCAACAGAAGCCGATCTGTTCAAATTGTTTGGTTTACTGTGAAAGACAAAAAAAAGTGAATGGCGCGCCTTCACTCATCAGTGTGTCTTGGGAAATGATGCAAAAATGATACAAATACCAGCTGTACAAGAAAATGCTTGAGGTTCACATAAAAATTGTCCTATTTCTGAGTAAGAATTGTCTTTTAATATTGATATGGGGTTTCTACCTTGAAGGTGATCAATATAAAGCTCTGACCAACAAATAGATATTAGCCAATTTCAACTTCTCCTTAAATGACAAAATGGCCAGCATTTTATGGCGTATCAAGTCAGAGGACTCCAAAGCGGCTTGCTCTACTTTTAGTCGTTCATACACACATTCACACAGTGATGGTGGTAAGCTGAATGAAGTGTCTTACAGAAGAAACAACAACGAAGATGGACGGAGCAAGTTTTCAGCTGGCAACCGACCGGTTACAGGACAAATTTCTATTCAAGAGTTTAAGCATCTAAAATGAGAGAGTAAATTTGCTTTTGAGCTAAAAGAAACATTTATTAATTCAATTGTAAAATAGTGAAATATTCAATATTTAGAAAAGACTTTACCTAAAGCAGTATGGCATATATGTAAAGATGTCGTGGATATTTATGCCCAGTGCAGTGAAGGTGTGTTTATATTTATTTTTTTCAAATGGAAATCAGTCTTATGCAACACTTCCTCCAGTAGGGGTGACTGTCAAGAAAGTTTTTCCGTTGTGGGAGACAAATGTACAAACCCAAATTATCTCAGTGATACTTTGGGTTACATAAGCATGGAGGTCAAGCACATATTTTCTCTCAGTATCCCTCGCTTGTGCCTTCTGTTCACAATAACAACACACACACACAAGAACCATGATTGGCTTCACTCTTGCAGACTTCCACCCCCCGTATGGACGAGGCATCCCTCCCTCTCCCCTGTGAAACAACCACTCTGAAGGCCAACTGGCACCACTCGACTTCCTCTGAACACCAAGCCTCAGGCTGCAGCCAGCACTGTTACAAAAGAGCTCCGCTGGTGCACTTGGTGGCTTTTCATATCGATTTAATTTACATAATGACTTCTGTGAGCTTAGATGACTCGGCGACTGCACGCAGTTTATCTTTTCACACGTTGAACCAGAAACCTAAAAGCTGTTCTGGCTGATTGTATTATCAATTAATCTGCAGGTCAGCTTCGCAATTAAACATTTTTTTAAAACTTTTTTAAAAATATTTTTACAATCCAAGAACACATGTAGACACTTAATATTTGCTGAGGGATTTTTTTTTCTTTAAATTAATCTCAGGCAAAAGAGATTGTTACCACATAGTTAAGTCTTTGTGTAAACAAAAGAAGTTGAAAAAAATTTTTTTTGACCAGAATAACAACTTTTTTCAATGTTGAAGTTAGAAAAATTTGAATTCAACAACTCAGAGGGAACAAAATAACTTCTTCTAAGTTGGTACACGACTGCTGTACTCACAATGGGACTAAGAACTTTAAAAATCTTATTTTATATGATGTAGAAATATACTAAATAGACTAATAAAGATTCAGATGTTTTTCCCTAAGGAGAGGAAAAACACATTCAAGGTTGACGAACAGAAGTAGTGATTTTGAATCCAAAATGACAGAATTGATTTAGTGATGTAAGTAACAAAACATCGGTTCCTAGTCTTTATCCGACTTCAATTAAACTCAAAAAGTGCTTTAAAGTGTGTGACATTGCACATTAAATCTATAGACACAAAATTGTATACGTTCCTTTGTTTTTTTATGCTTTTAATGAACAGGAAAAAATTATATTTTTCAGTATTCAACCTGCAGATGAGAGCTGATAAAGATTTAGTTTTGTTGTATTGTTTCATAAATGTTAAAAGAAATATCAAAATTGAGGCACAATACTGTAAAATGAAAACAACTGCCTGAAATCTTTTGCATTGACTGTTGTATCTCTACTTTACTTTTAAGCAACAAAAAAAAAAGAGATAAATAAACAGTTTGTTTCCTATAGTTTAATACGATTGTGTAGTTTTATATCCTTGACGATTTATTACTTCATTCGAGAAATTTAAGCTTTGAGTAATTTTTATAATGTTATGGCTTTTCTATCGGGAGTGATTAACCCAAAGATTTTATGTAAGCAGTGAAACAATTAGATGATTCGGATTACAAACATTACGGACTCTAAACTGTCTGCTTTTAGCTCTCAAGCAGACAAGATTCCTCAGAAGATTTCACACTGAATAAAAATCTGCTTAACTGCATTCAAACAGGACAGAGAAACAGGCAGAGAGATAGTGAAGCCTGTGTAAACAGCACAGATAGCACTGGAAGCAAACAAACAAAAAAAAATGAAACCTTGTTTTATTTACAGTCATAATCGTTACCCGGCTCCTGGCTGGCTAAGCTTACTGGGAGAGTAAACCTTGCAGATATAAACCCATCAATACGGCTCTGAGACTGAACTCACTGCTCAGCCCTGACCAGACTTGGGAGAATTTTAAACAAAGATGGAGATCACACAGGAGATCTCATCTGGTTTCAGGAAATTTAGCAAAGGAAAATAGCTTCAGAGCTTGTGAATCTCACCTGATGTGTCCCACAAACTGAGCTCAACACGCTGGTCTTCAAGCTCCAGACAAGCTGTGTAGTTCTCAAACACAGTGGGGACGTAAGTCTGGATGAGGAGGAATGAAGATCGGGATAAGGAAACATTCTCATTGCATATTCACACTACTGCAGGTTTCCATTTTAGATTAAATCTAAAGGAATTGGTGGATTTTCTAATAAACTAAGCCTTGCAGCTATATTCTTATATATCATAATTTCTTTCTTTTTCTTATTGACGAGGTTTATATGAAAATGTATATTCAAAAATTAAAGAATTTTGCTCTAACTAAACTACATTTCTCCTAGTACATGCTTGATCGCATACTAAAGTGGTCTAATCCAAGGATTAATCAGAAGGAATCAATAATGTTAGAATATTCAAATTGAATAGAAAAGCATATAATTGCTGCTATTTTTCTCTACCTCTAAAGACGTAAAAACAGAAAAGCATTTTAATATATCCCAGTGCTTTAGATGTGAGCAGCAGCGTCTTACCTCTGGATAGCAGTCCTTCACCAATACTTGCAGCATCGCTGTTTTACCGCATTGAACGTCTCCAACCAGGACCAGTTTACACCTCGCCACAAAAGGCTGCGGGAGTCTTCTCTCCTTCATTGTTATGACTGCAGCCCAGAATAAACCTGGAGGAGAAACGAGTGGGGACAGTCTGGTAAAGTGCGCAGTGTTTCTGAAGCTGAGCAGCAGCAGCAGCAGCAGCAGCAGTAGTTGAGTTTCAGTCAGTGAAGGAGCCGGAGACGCAGCGCGACTTTATGTGTTGTCGCGCCAGCCAATGAGAGCGGCGCAGTGCGTCGTGCACGAGGACCGCGCACGAGAAGATGCCCACCTTATATATATCACTATCAGCCGCAGGGAAATGCTCCAGCTCATTTTTGATGGCTACAGATACGTAGAATATTAACAACTTTTATTTCAAAAATATAAAAAAATAAAATAAAAAATCAAAGATGCCTCAATATAAACATCAATTTTACCGTCTAGTTATTGCATGTGACGACATCTATAATCTGAGTGTTTGTTGTTTTGATCTACAACAGGTGTCAAACCTAAGGTCCGGGGACCATATGCGCCCGCCATAACTTTTCACTAGGCCTTCTAGACCTATGGGATTCCATTGGTGGTAAAAGATATCTGCCGAAAAACAGAATCCCATAAATATAGACAAGGGGTCTGAAACAAAACCAAGAGCCATTTTGCTCTCAGTCTGACTAAATAAAACTCTTTTAGAGATGCAAAATGTGACATAACCTTTTGTGAGTTTGGTGTCTCTCATCATCCTCTAAACAAGATATTATGGAGTTAAGGTCAGGAAATGTGTCTGACCAATCAAACAGAGGGACATCCTGGTTACCGATTCAGTTTTTGGTGCCTTTAGCTCGGTGAACAGATGTCACGTCCTACTGGAAAATAAAATCAACATCTCCATAAAGTTTGTTTGCAGAAGGAAACATGAAGTGCTTTTTGGTCGATGGATGCGTTGACATGCATTTGGTAACCCAAATATTCACTGAGCTGAGGAAGCTTCAAACTGGACTTCAAGTGAGGTAGAGTCCACTTATCCTGCAGACTTGGACTTTCATTTTCAAATAAAATGCAAGGTTTATTTCCATCTAACAGAAGAGGAACAGTGCAGATATGTGTCTCCTCAGCCCAGGAAAGACACTTACAGCCCAACTGTAGTGTCTAGTTTGTAGTGGCTCTTGATGTCCAGCCTCACTCCTCACTGTTTGACAATTCTCTCTCAGCTGAGATTATTCTGTACTGGTGCACTTTTTCTTACCACACTTCTTCCTTCCACTTAACTTTCTATAAATGTTCTCTCTGAACAAACAGCTTTTTTAGCAGTGACATTGTCAGGCTTATTCTCCTTGTGGAGAGTGTCAGTGACTATCTTCTGTTAAGTAGTGATCTTGTAAACAATGCATTTTTGGCTGTCATTATCTTTAGTCTGTAGTCATCTTAAATATTTCACTTAATTATGTCATTTCCTGAATTAAAGTTGTTTTTTTTTAGTTCTTCTTTTAACTTGTCACTGATGCTGTCGATTGCAAATTTTCTCAGACAACAAGATAGCACAGGATAAGTGGGAGAAAGCAGAGGAAAGCAGGTGGTGTTAATTCAGCGTTTTGCATTCATCCACCCACTTTGCCGTGCTGAGTCGACAATTCTGCCCGAAATCAGGCAAAACCCAAATATTATTAAAACGTGTGTCTGAGAAGAGGAAAACAGACAGAAAATCCTTCACATCTAACGGATCTCAAAGTGAATTAATTAACATATTTCAAGTCAGACTAGCCTGAGAGCTCTTGCATTATGTAAATCAGGACATGATGAAAGAAAATACACAAGTGCAATCATGAAGTGGAAATATCCTGCTAATCGCTCCTGTCCTCTTAGCTGCGGCCTTCCACCACTGAAACAAAGCGGGAACACACCACACAGCGTCTGCTTTTACATGTTAACAGGTGAAAGATGGCAGCAAAACCACCACTGTCCGTTGGGTATAACTAATTACATTTACCTGAGTAACTTCTTTGACAAAATGCACTTTTAGGATTATTTTACCATGCTGTACTTTTTACCTTTACGAAAGTAATTTTATGACTTGAGTAAATCTTCTACATTCTCTGCCCACTGAATGAAAAACACAAAAATAGACATACAGACAAGGTAGTTTTTGTTCAAGTTTCATAAGTTTTATATTGAAACGAACTAATTTGGGAAAAATTTATCTTTTCTGATTTTCTTTTTTTGTTTTTTGTTGTTGTTACTTATATGACTTTTTGACAAAATTTCCACTTAACTTTATGTTTTGGTCCTTCTGATGGTGTAATTTTAAATATTTTAAGATTGATTGTTTGATCATTTACTCAGAACTTGAGAAGTCTTATTACCAATAACAATTTTTAGTATTACTTCAGTAAGTTCATGGACGACTCCTTTTACTTTTTCTTGCAAATATGTGGAAATATTGCTAAGTAGAACCTTTCTCTTACTAATTCATATTTTTATCATTTAAGACAAGTGAACAAATTATAAGATCACTTGGGAAAATACAACATTTTGTTGTGCAGAAACAACTGGCACCGATACATTTTCCCTTAATCACTCTCACTTTGTAATTACATGCACTCAAGTTTTCACTGAATGTCAAAATACCATCTGTTTCACGGTAACCACCAGTAATGCTGTGCTACTCAATTTGTTTTTTATTTTCATTTGCAAAAGTCAAGGGCAAAAAGAGGATAAAACAGAATAAATAAAATCACAGAGGTTCATATTTAATGTGCAACGGCACAAGGAAAAGGTGTGGCTGTTAAATATTACTACAATAACCAGAGAGAGCTCTCACCACTGCAAAGCTCTCAGCCTTCGCACTGAAGAGCATCGCTTTGGTTAAGAAAATACAAACAGTGGAGAAGACATAACAATGTGAAGGTATGAGCTCTCAGGGGGAAGATGGAGGAAGGGTGATGTCTTGTTCTGTCATAATAAAGAAAATGAATGATTGTCTCAAATTTAAACTGCAAACACCTTCAACAGATCCTTGGATTTCTGCAGAGCTGTGTTTCTGCAGCTTCATGTTCTTTTGAACGAGATGAAAAACACACATGTATGCAGCAGATTGGTGCATTAGGTCCAGCAGGACAGAAACACGTTAACATCCAATGTGGTTCAGTGTAGCAACATTAAAATATTGCTGTAAAGCTTCACTGCCATCTGAAGGTGTAGAGCACAAAGTGCAGAAAAGAAGAGAAATAATCTGATGTTGACAACCCACATCTCTACCAACCAACGCATTTTCCTTTCCAAATGTGGCAAATAAGCAAGCTTTACAACAGTAGATGTATTTCCAAGAAGCATTTTTATAAAGAAAGATTCAACAGAAAACAAATTTATATATTTATTATTTTTTTTATTACTTTTGTTCCATCAGAAATTATTATTTTACTGGATTAACACATGATTTTGAAGTTCTTTAAGAATTTTGAAACTGAGTTCAAGTCTTTAAACTGAGCTGGAGAGTGTGACAAGAAATCTTTATCGTACAATGTGTTTCCTGACTGAGGCAGTAATTTATTTCCACAAGGAATAGATAGTAAATGTTTAGCAAAGAAGACATTTGTACAGATAGAAAAAAAAATTAGCCAGTTTTCAAGGAGACCTAATTAAATGCATGTTTAGAATAAATGTAGAAGAACAAACTGGTTGGATTGAAAATACGGTTGGATATGATACAGTCTGGATTACAAATGTCTGCAGCCTAATTAAGCTATTTACAGCTATGATAATTTAAGACTTCAAGTGTGTTAAATGAATGGTACCATATTATTAAAAGTAGCTCATTTTGAGAGATTGTTTTGACCATTGTCCTATACCCTCCTATTCTGATAGGCTCAGAAGAAGGATTGATGTCTATCTTCAGGGTCAGGAAGGAAACCTGAAGTTTACAGCCTGCACTTTTAAATGTGATATTCTCTTTCTGTGCGTCACGGCCGCCTTTTGTTGAGGTCTGCACCATTTATACACTGTTGCTCGCCATGGCCACACGAAACATGGTCTTGTCAGTGCACCGCCAAGCAGCCGGCGGCTGTGCTAAGATGGCAAATGGAGCGCACCCGGTAGCTGTTGGCCGAGTTGAAAAGTCTACGTCATGACGTCACCAGCAGCTATTTCTGGTTTGTAACCAAGGTTTTAGCTCCCCAAGATTTATAAGATGTCTCAACATTTCTGTTCATTTTAAAGTTTATATAAATTATAAATATGAACATAGCTATATTATATATTTGGAGAAAGAGCTTATAAATGAGCACATTTCCTTGTTCCGCTGACGTCTTTGCCCTGACCTGACGTTATTGGTCGACTCTGTTGTTTCAGACCTTTCCCGCGCTGCTCTCATTCAGCTGAACTACCGCCAGTCAGAGTTAAGAGGGTTATATTTAAAATAAACTCCAAACTTCTGAGAAAATGCCGTCCTCAGACTACGACCCGGCGTGTTTGCCGGACTTATTGCCGCTCTACTATCGCCGCCTGTTCCCCTTCGCTCAGTATTACCGCTGGCTGAACTACGGGGGAGGTAAGTGTCCTCCAACAGGCCGGGGAAGAGAGCAGAAACCCGGGTTAGGAAGCTGGAGGGACCCGAGTGACGTGTGGATGATATATCTGGATGTAATTTCTGCAGGAAATGTGTTCCTCTGTTCCCTGTTGAAGTGCTCAATACGATAATCCACATTTGAAAAAATCTGGTAGATTTTAAGCTTTAAATTTTCGATCTTATAACATTTTGTAACAAATTACTTGTGATTTTGCTTGACCTTGGCATAAAAACTTAAAACTTATATTCATAAATAACATTGTTACTTTTTTAACATAAAGCCTATTTGGCTCAAGAGTTTTAAATATTATTTGGGGGTTTTAAGACTCATTTAGGTTGTTTAATAATTTTAAAAAATTAGCAAAGGCACTTCTTTTTAGGGACTTTTCTTGCCTTGCTCAATTTTTTCTTCATCAAAACTAAAGGAGTGTCCATCCTGTAGATGAGCAAAAAGTACACAGAGAAGAGATCTTTGTAGATTACAAGAGAAACAGGGATAAGCCAAATATTTAAATATATTTAGGGACAGAGAATGTTTTTCATCTGAAATGCAAAATGTATGTATTTTTTGTATAGTTTTGCTTGCTCTTCCAGTAAATTATTTTTGCAGTCTGTATTCTCCAGTGTGATTCATCAATTAGTAAGTTAATTGACGACTATTTGAATAAACAATTAATAATAATTAATCTGATTAATTGTTTCAAGACCAGAGGAGATTCAAAGCAACTGCACAAAAGTGTTTTATTACTTGAGTCAATTTTACCGAGACCCCTGTTGAAATATGTTGTTTGTTTTGTTTGCCTCCTTTCCCTGACTCTTACGTTTTCTACATCCTCAGTGCAGAAGACATACTTCCAGAACCGGGAGTTCTCCTTCACGCTCAAAGACGACATCTACGTTCGCTACCAGTCGTTTAGCTCACAGAGCGAGCTGGAGAAGGAAATGCAGAAAATGAACCCGTACAAGATCGACATCGGAGCGGTGTACAGTCACAGGGTAAACTTTTCCAGTCTGATGCGTGCCTCTCTGGGTCATGTGTTTTTGCACACGTTTAAAAATAAATTAGCGTTCCTGTTTGTCGTCTGCAGCCTAATCAACACAACACGGTGAAGTCAGGCAGCTTCCAGGCTCTGGAGAAGGAGCTGGTGTTTGATATCGATATGACGGATTACGATGATGTTCGAAGCTGCTGCAGGTAAAAGAAATAATTTGACTATTTTTCTAAGGATCTCTGTTTATACATGTTCAAAAATATACTCTCTATCAATAACATCTTAAAAACTTGATTTCAGTGCTGCAGATATTTGCTCCAAGTGCTGGACACTGATGACCATCGCCATCCATATTTTGGACAGAGCTCTTCGCCGTACGCTGCTGATTTATTTCAAGAGTTTTTCTTTCATTGATTTTCTTCACAATCACTTGAGTGTATTTAGTTGTTTTTTCTTTCTGCAGAGGACTTTGGTTTCCACCACTTGCTGTGGGTGTATTCAGGCAGAAGAGGAGTTCATTGCTGGGTTTGTGACGAAGCTGCCCGGAAGCTCTCTGCAGCCGCACGGTCCGCTGTGGCAGAATATCTGAGCCTGATTAAGGTCAAACAGTTTCACTTCTCTTTTAATATAAACTTATTAGGAAAATCACATTGAATACATAAGAAACAATCTAAAATTGATAAAAGGCAGTATGAATAAGACATAAACAATAATAGGAATCTTTAGGTAAAGCTTAAGGATGTCAACACTTCGAATGTCCGCTTTGCAGGATTCATTTGAAAATTGGATTTTAAGATGTGAAAAAATAATAGATTGTGTAACAATATTTGTTTTTCAAGACTTTAGTGTCTGTGTAAAAGGATTTGGTTATCTATACGTCGTCTTTTCTAAAATTCATCTATCAATCCACCTGTATGCGTCTATCTACCCGTTTGTTGGTCGATCCGTTTGTGCATTTCTGTGTTTAAGCTTTAATCGATCCATCATTCTTTCCATCCATTTCAACCCATGCATCTATCATTAAATCTGTTCGCTTGTTGTTGCTTTCTGTGGTTTCTCCAGGTTCCATGTTCAAAAATATAATGCAGTTTTAGAGATATAATATTTTTTTTGTTTTTTTTTATCCATACATTTTGAACTGGTTAAAAAATGATGGATAACTTAGAATGCTTTTGTCTTAAAAGTTAAACAAATTGACATGAAAACTGTAAAAACCATCCATTTTTGCACAAGAAAATGTGTGTGCCATTTATCAGTAGTTTTTCAATTACGCATTTTTGTTTGAATTAGTTAAAAACACACTTTTGATGACTATAGCTTTTACAATTGGGTCCCATCCCTAGTTTGAAACATGACTTCAAGGATAATCATGACACTTTCTGAAATGATTACTGTTCTTATCCAATATCAAAACTTTAGCGACAAGAAGTACATTTTGACTTTTTAATTTCTGTTTCACAGGGTGGTGAAGAGACGGTGAAGAAAGTGGTGCTAACAGATCCAATTCATCCTTTCATCAGGTAAAGGGATTTGACATTTGTCTCTAAAGTGACTGTCTTGTTTTTATAATTATGTGTTTAACAATTTGCATTTGTACTTTTAACAGGAAGTCTCTAACTGTGGTTAAGAAGTACTTTCCACAATACGCACTACAGGATCAGAACATATTGGGATGCCAGGAGTCTGAAGAGAAAGTCCTGGCTCTCGTACCAGAAGATATCCTTTCCATTTTTAATATGCATATGGCTGCACATTAATTTTGCGTTTTCTCTACCATAGTGGAACGGGCTTTTTCAATTATTGATGATTTACCATAATGCCCATGGTAAATCGTTAAAAATTTATTCGTCAGGTATCTTAAAACTAGAAAGAAAGTAATAACAATTTGACCTTAACATAATTGGTTACATGTCAAAAAAGAATTACAGGAGATATTTAAGAAGGAGAAAAACTCAGAGAAACGCTGGCTTCATATTGAAGACCAAGCAGAAAAAAAACAGGTTGGTTGTTATGGTTGTCTTATACAAAGTCTTTTTCCAGAAAAGCTTGAAAATCTGTAAATTAGATTAATTTAAAACAATTATATATATCAGAACCTAAAATCGATATACTATTTATTAAGCAAATATCAGTCTTTTGAACCCTTCAAATCAACCTAACAGTGAAAAGATGACTGTCACAAAGGTTAGAACCTCTTGAATAGCACTATATGAGTTGGATCCATTCATGCATTGTCTTGCTAGTTAAAGTAGTCAGTAGTAAGATCCATAGACATTCGGGGGTCCAGTGGTGTCCATGTTTCCATGAATCAGAGGTATTTTGGCATTAAATTGGGGAATGAATTCCATTGACCAAGTTGTAAGGCTGTTATGCTAATCCCAGTATGAAGAAGGGCTTCAAAATTATGAAACATTTTATTATGTACTTTATAAAAAGTTTGAGCTGTTCTGGATTTACACTTTCTTCATAATAATTCTTTGTTTCTTTTATTTATTTTGTTTGTAAATTGGTTTTTACTGATCATTGTTCCTCCTCCAGAAAACTGCCAAAAAGCGGCAGTACTTTGAAAAGGAGATCATGCTGCAGTACTGCTACCCTCGACTGGATGTCAACGTCAGCAAAGGCGTGAACCATTTACTGAAAAGCCCTTTCAGTGTTCATCCCAAAACAGGTGAGCATGAACCCTCACTAACTGTTTTCACCAGGAAATGTTTTTCTAATTTCACCTCTTCGCTTGTCCAGGGCGCATCTCTGTTCCCATAGATCTTAAAGACCTGGATAAGTTTGATCCTTTTGCTGTCCCCACAATCAGGTGAGTAATGAAATTGTTTTGATGTGCTATTTAGTGTGCCGTACGTGTGACTTTTATTGATAGATTTATTTTTCAGTCTGATCTGTGAGGAGCTGGATCGACCCAAGGCAGATGAGGACGAAGCAAAGTCAGAGGACACGAATGGGAAGGAAAACGGACAAGACTCAACAGAGAAGAGGAAAATCAGAGGTGACAAAGGGGGGGTGAAATAAATCAGAGATAAATTTAGTATGAAATTGTCACAAAATGTGTCCTCTTTGCAGTATTGAACTGACCTAGCTGCTCAGATCTTCTGCCTGGTTTGATACTGTAATTGAAGTACATTTTGTCTATTTTCTCCTTACAGATTACAAGCGAACCAGTTTGGCAAAGTATGTGACGTACTTTGATCAGTTTCTGACTGAAATGGCTAATTCACGAAAAGGACAGCTTCGCAGTCAGAGTGGTGAGTTTAACAAAGGTGAAGCACATTTTTAAGAACTTTATGCTTGATTTGTTTTTATGTTTTCTTCTTTTCTTCCTTCAGATCTTCAGTTAGAATTTTGAGCAGTATCGTCAATCTGAAATCACACCTCCTGCCCTACTACTCAATGTAACTGAGGAGCTATGTTTATGGTTGAGTTTGTGGAGATAAAGTATTTTTGGACAATACCATCTGATCACACCAGTTTTGATGCTCTTTTATTCAGTCATGTTACATTTGTGTTTTAATCCGCCAAATAAAGCTGACTTTATTGCAGAAAATTCTTGTCAAATGGGAGCAAATTGCTGCTATGCAGTGAAATTAAATTCATATGTTGTTGTAAACCTTGTTTGAGATTTTTTTTCCTCTTATTTTGATTGTTGCACTCACCTTTTGTGTAATATTTCCAGCATTAATATATTTGAACTATAAATGTGCTCAAAAGATCAAAACATGAGCTGCAGAAAACTGCCTGAAAATCAAAATGGTCTCAAGTATTTTCAAATGGCATGCAAATCCATTAGGACTTGGAATAGATATTTACTCAAGAGTAGCATTACAATATACACTGCTCAAAAAAATAAAGGGAACACTCAAATAACACATCCTAGATCTGAATAAATAAAATAAATATGAAAATAATTTCCACCTGTTGTCTCTTCCATTTTTACAACAGCAGGTGATATTGATTGTCAATCAGTGTTGCTTTCTAAGTGGACAGTTTGATTTCACAGAAGTTTGACTTACTTGGAGTTATATTGTGTTGTTTGAGTGTTCCCTTTATTTTTTGAGCAGTATATTTTTACTCAAGCACAAGTAGCGTTACTATCCTACTCTACCTTGAGTAGGGTAAAAAAGTATTTGATAAAAGGGTGATTTACAAGTTAGCAACTGATGACATTTGGTGTAATATTTAAAATACAAAAGCAGAATAAACCCTTTTTCAAATCACCTGTTTTCAACATAATATGAAACAAATACTTTAGGTACTGAATAATTTTTTAACTCAAATTAACGATCATAATTTTGTATTTTATATATATATATAATACAAAATTATGATCGTTAATTTAAACACTGCATAATTTTGTATTATATATAATACAAAATTATGATCGTTGGACGTATTGTTTGAAATGATCGCTATCATTGATATGATATTCAGAGATCGCTGTTGAATTAGCTGACCCGGATGCAGAAGCAGTTTCTCCACCGGATATTACATTGAATCTGAGGTCAGGCGTTCTCTCTCACAGCCATCTTGGAAATAGCGTCCTGAGTCGGTGAGTTCTCCGCTAACAATCCGTCTCCATCCCCTTGTTTTTCACTCATTTCCGTCTTTGCAGTAGATTTGGTCTGTTTGATTAAAGTTTGACCATTAGGCCGTGACAAGTATTACTCTATAAGAGCTCTGGGTTTAACGAGAATCTGTCTCCGTTAGCGCTGATTACCGGCTCAAAATGGGGGAGCATGATGTAAAACACACTGCCAGCAGTTTGTCAGGGCCGCAGTTACCTGTTTATCCCGAGATATGAATTTTCATATCAATGACAACCACCTGGATTGCTATAAACATGACTAACGGGAGGGAAAATGTCAATGTACAGTTATTAGCAGCTATCTTCTTTCGTTTGAGGCTAACAGGCAATTAGCTGTAGCTAGTGTTGCTTCATGCATCACAAACGGCTCGCAAAGCTAAAGTTTGGTCTCTGTTACCTGTCCAGCCGTTCTACGCAGTTCTGTGTTTAGATTTTTATGTGTCGACAGAGACAGTATTTGGTTTCAGATCGCTGAAAAACAATTTAAAGCCTGTGTTTTTATGTTCCCTTTCAGCGACCATGCCTGGCGAAGCAACAGAAACGGTCCCAGTCACCGAGCAGGAGATGCAGCAGCCTCAAGCGGAGACTGGTTTGTACAGCTTGACTTCTCAGTTTTGCACGCTGCTATTCTGCATTTTTGCAAAGTGGGGTGTTGGATCTTAAAGAGGTTTTACATCTGTCAGCGAGTAGCTACTGCGTGGATGTGATTTCAATCGAGAATTGTGTTTTGGCTCGGTTTCGGGAGTGGACTCTGCAGGATAAGGTGTTGATATAATAGCTGACAGCATTCATGTGATCTGAGATTGGTGATAGTATGTGTCCGTTTTAGGATTCGGAGTAAAGCGTAATCCAGGACCCCTCTTGCATTCACTCAAACCCACAATAGAGTGTGATTACAAGGACTGGCTAACTGGATTTGGCACACAATGCATGTTGAGTGGTGTTTGTGTTTCTGCACAGAATGACTAACATTGAGGTACGTTGTTGTAACACTGCTGCTTGTTAAAACAATATGGTGTGTGGATTTGATGCTTTGGCAGATTTAGGTTGCATATGCATTTTGATTAGTTAAAACTGTGACTTTAAAATGTCGTTTAGAATAGGCTTTTTTTTTTAAATCGAAGTTTTCTTTATTGTCAATATCTGCAAGACGCATGAGAAAACAATTGTGTTTCTCGCTATCTCCTGTTGAAACTAATTACTTAAAAATATCACATAATAATAAATGAGAACGGAAACAGACGTACGTGTGATATTACAACTGCAATACTTTTATATATAATATGAAAGTATCTTTAAATGTTTAAAAAAAACATACTCATTTATGCAGACTTTATGAAGACGCTGCCACACCTTTCCCACAATACATAGCAGGTATACCTACAATACAGTCTAAAGGCACTAACGAACTCGGGATGAAATAAAATTCCCCTTAAAGGTCTGAAAGGTAACCAAGAGTACAAAATAAATAGGACTCAAAGAAGTTGAGCTCCTAAAAAGAGCTATTGTTTAGTCTTTTTTAAGATCATTTTAAGCCAGCAACTTTCTAATCAAAAATCAGTTTGTTTTTAGTCTAAGAATTATTAAAAATTTGTTAAGCAGTGTGAGGTTACTACAACTCTTAATTTAAGGATGTGTCTTCTATGCGACTCTGTTTTGACCTTTACAGAATATTTTTTTAATCATTTATCAAGGTTGGAGAGCAACTCTTCTATTTAGTGGTTGTCTGCTTCCAAAACATTTATATTAACTACATGTGGAATATTGCCACTGGAAGACAAGTGGTAAGAAATAAGAAATAACGGGTCTTACTGTAAGATGAAATGTATTTAATAGTGACTCTATAGAATTTATCACAGTAATAAGTGTGGTATTTGTTAGTTTTTTTTTAAACTTCATAAAAATAAAACATGTCTTCACTGCTGTCACATTTAAACACTGCATGGAGTTTGGGACACCATCACTGTTCATCAAAGTCATTTCTTCACCCTTTAGTTTTTCCAAAGCCAAACAAGTTTGTTTTTTATTCACATCTTTTCATTTGTGGAACACATTTTCCCTTTATTTGTTTCTGTGAGGACTTGTACCTCCTGTCATCTCTGTTGCTCTTCCTTCATCAGCTCCTGGAGTTTTGAACACTCCTCTTCCTCCCACAATGAGTAAAAATCCTCCAGTAACAGCTGTGTCCGGTCAGGAAGTAGGGCTGGCAGAAGAAACACATACTCATGCTTTCTGTGATCAAGCCAACTGTATAGCTGTAAATCAAGAAGTGAGCATCTTTCAGGCCATAGCTGTCTCAGAGCAAGGGCTGGCTGCTGTCTCAACAGAGGCTTCAGCTGGTCCGGCAGCTCATGAGGAATGTGGTCATCCTTATGAGGCCCCTTTGGCTTCCTTGGGGCCACATGTGGTTACTGCTGAAGGCCAACAAAGTGATTGCTTTGTTGCGGTTGAAAAATTATCCACACAAGATATCGAACCAGTTTCTGATGATGCAAAGGCTTTTGGAGAAGATGTTGGTCCTGGACATGAAGATGGGACAATTGCTTCACCCAAGACCTCACTTGATGGTCAAGCTGATGAGGATCAAATGTATCCCGATGTTGTCCTTCAGAATGATATTTGTGACATAAACACACCAAAGTCTTTTCAGACGAAGGGGACTGATAAATATGAAGCCATCCATCATCCCTCAGGTTGGTTTATCCTCCATGTAAACCAAACCCATGTCCCTTTTTTCCATCTTTTTTTTTTTTTACATGCAGTTTGAGATGATTCTTTTGCACAACACTTATCATTGGCTGCCTTCATTGTTAGTTTTTGTTGATATAGATTCATAATAGGACCAATCACGTTTTTAACTTAACTGCAAAACAATTAACAGGAGACATAGTAACTTTAAAACGTCACTATGTGGTTAATACTTATTAACCAGGGATTGATAAGTATTAATCCCTAGTTAAATACTTATTTCACCAGGGATATGTGTTTGGTATAAGTAAATTCTCAAATATGACATATTAAATTTATTATCATTTATTGAGTTTGGAAATAAACTTTTCATTGCATTAAAAAGAGCAAAACTTTATTTTTACAATAATAAAATGCGTCATTTCGCCCCCCCCCCCAAAAAAAAAAGAGCATTGGTGTTACTTTAATAGAGGAAATGTATCATTAGCTTACTTCCTCTATTAAGTCAACAAAAATATTTACAAGGAGTTAAATCAGCTCTGAGTGACGCAAGTGAGTTCTTATTCTTTGTAGATGTAGAATTTTTCATCCAACAATAATTGTATGAATTGGTTTAATTGTCTGTCTCATTGAGGTCTCATTAAAAAGACAGACCAGAAGCAGCAGAAACTGATGAGTCTCAGATCTTTTATCAGGGAACTCATTGAGGTTTTAAGAAGGTTTGTCAGTATCACAAGTCATTAGACCATAGCAGAAATTAACCCTGATATTCAGAGTTTTATTGTAGATTCTGATGCTTGATTTGTACATCCCAAAAGTACAGTGGCAGGCATAATAATGGCATTTCATTTACTTTTTTGCTTCTTTTAATTTAGTAAAGAATGTAATGAAGTGGAATTGTAAAAACAATTACACCATTACAGTAATTTATTTGATATTTCAAAGTCCTTATGAGTACTTTTAGATTCAAGCCTTTGAGTGGAATTTTATTATTTTATGGGACTTCTATTAATTATGCAAATTTTTTTCCTCAAACTATTTTCAAATGTAATACAGACACGGTTTCTGTGTGGAAATATGCAGTTTGTTTTGTGGTGCTGGCTAGTATTAAAGTTATGGAATATGTGTTGAGGTTTTGTTTTTTTCTAATTTAAGCCCGAGAGTGCTTTTTGGTTTGTGAATGTTCAACCCGCATGCCCACATCTTGAACTATTGGGATACAATTTTAAAAAAATCTCTTTCCTGTTCAGCTCCGCCTCCTGCGCCAGCTTCCACCCAGCAACCTCAGGTAGCTTCTGGCCCCGCAAAGGCCAAAGGCAAAGATGCCAAGGGTGGGCAGGGTTCTTCTGCCCCAAAGGCTGTACCTGGCAGAAGAAAACGTTCCTCTATGTCTGCCTCTTCCTCCTCACCCACTTCACCTAAATCTACTCCATGCTCTACTCCCCGGTCACCCGTGGTGTCACCTTTGGCATCACCTTTAGCATCCCCCTTGGCTTCTTCGGCCAGTAGCTCCCCTGCCAATCGTTCTGCCCCAAAAGTGGTTAAGGCAGGAAAACAAGGAAAGGCTAAGAAAGGAGAGGCATTTGAGCCTGCTCCTGTCCAGGTAGATCACAAAGTCCCAGATGGAAAGGGAAAATCAGAGGAACCTGACTTGAAGAAATCTATGACTACTGAAGCTAAAGCTTTCCCAGTTGAGACAAAATCTCAGCCACCCCCTGCATTTAAAGTCACCCAAAAGCCTGCTGTTGCAGCACCAATTTCATTCTCGGATACTTTTGCTACAAGCCCCCCAAAATCTGGTGATAAAGTTGCTTCTGCAAAACCCGTAGTGCTTATGGTCGATGATGAGCTTCCTCCACTTATCCCACCTGAGAAGCTTGGTAAAATGCAAGTCCCGGCACCTCCTGTTGCCAAAGACAGCGCAAAGCCTTCTATGTCTCCTTCTGAACCTAGACCTAAAGGGGCTACTTCTGCTCCTCCAGATGTCAGTAAAGCCAAGATGAGTGCTGAACCCAAACCTTTGCTTGTCGAAGCTCCTAAGGCAGCAACCCCAGTGAAAACTGTAACTCAGGAGGTCACTAAGCCTTCTACAGATTCCATGGCTAAATCTGCTGCTGGCAAGCCTGGCCAAGACAAACCTGCTGCAGATGCTGTGAAGGCAGCAGTTGAGACAAAATTTATCTCTATCACAGGTCCTAAACAAGTTGAGGACATTGGGGCCTCGCCTCCTAAAGTTACCAAGCCAAATGCTGGCATAATGTCAACCCCTCTTGAGGTTACCAAGCAAGCACCCGAAAAGGGTGCTGTGGTAGTTAATAAGGCTCAGTCGGTTGACTCGAAGGAAAACGCTGGTGAGGCCATCAAAAAAGCCAAACCAATAGCTGCTGAGGCACCTAAAGCAGATTTTGAGACTCCTAAACTGGTCAAACCAACTGAGGCACCCAAGAAGGCCAAAGCCAGCTCCACCGAGGCACCTACACCAGCCCCAGAAGTGGCCAAGCAGGCGGCCACCGAGGCACCCAAACAAGCCAAGCAGGCGGCTGCTGAGGCACCCAAACAGGCTAAGCAGGCACCCAAACAGGCTAAGCAGGCGGCCCCCGAGGCACCTAAGCAGGCGGCCCCCGAGGCACCTAAGCAGGCGGCCCCCGAGGCACCCAAACAAGCCAAGCAGGCGGCTGCTGAGGCACCCAAACAGGCTAAGCAGGCGGCCCCCGAGGCACCTAAGCAGGCGGCCCCCGAGGCACCTAAGCAGGCGACCCCCGAGGCACCCCAAACAAGCCAAGCAGGCGGCTTCTGAGGCACCTAAGCAGGCGGCCCCCGAGGCACTTAAGCAGGCGACCTCCGAGGCACCCAAACAAGCCAAGCAGGCGGCTGCTGAGGCACCCAAGCAGGCACCCAAACAGGCTAAGCAGGCGGCCCCCGAGGCACTCAAGCAGGTGACCCACGAGGCACCCAAGCAGGCAGCACCCAAGCAGGCGACCCCCGAGGCACCCAAGCAGGCGGTCCCCGAGGCACCCAAGCAGGCAGCCCCCGAGGCACGCAAGCAGACGGCACCCAAGCAGGCGGTCCCCGACGCATCCAAGCAGGTGGCCCCTGAGGCACGCAAGCAGGCGGCACCCAAGCAGGGGGCCCCCGAGGCACCTAAGCAGGTGGCCCCCGACGCATCCAAGCAGGTGGCCCCTGAGGCACGCAAGCAGGCGGCACCCAAGCAGGTGGCCCCCGAGGCACCTAAGCAAGCTAAGCAGGCAGCCCCCGAGGCACCCAAGCAAGCTAAGCAGGCGGCCCCCGAGGCACCCAAGCAAGCTAAGCAGGCAGCCCCCGAGGCACCCAAGCAAGCTAAGCAGGCAGCCCCCGAGGCACCCAAGCAGGCTAATCAGGCGGCCCCTGAGGCACCCAAGCAGGCTAATCAGGCGGCCCCTGAGGCACCCAAGCAGGCTAATCAGGCGGCCCCTGAGGCACCCAAGCAGGCTAAGCAGGCGGCCCCTGAGGCACCCAAGCAGGCTAAGCAGGTGGCCCCAAAGGCAACCAAGCAGGCGGCCCCCGAGGCAACCAAGCAGGCGGCCCCCGAGGCAATCAAGCAGGCGGCCCCCGAGGCAACCAAGCAGGCGGCCCCCGAGGCAACCAAGCAGGCGGCCCCCGAGGCAACCAAGCAGGCGGCCCCCGAGGCAACCAAGCAGGCGGCCCCCGAGGCAACCAAGCAGGCGGCCCCCGAGGCAATCAAGCAGGCTAAGCAGGTGGCTGCAGACACCCCTAAAACAGCTGAGACTTCTCCATTGGTGAAAGCAACAGCTCCTGATGGTGCAGGTCAAACCAAGCTGGCCAAACCAGTCGAGGCACCCAAACAAGCCAAACCAACTGCTCCTGAAGCACCTAAAACAGCAAAACCGAAGGCTGATGAAGAACCTAAACAAGCCAAGCAAACTACTGAAGTTCCCTCAAAACCTGCTCCAGTTGAGCCTATTCCTCCGCCTCCAGCCCCACGTAAACTTACTTTTGCCGAGGCAGTTGCAAAACCTGCACCTGTCAAGCCTGAAGCTGAGAAAATCAGCACTGCTCCCTCTAATCATGTCATATCATCTAAACCTGCTGAAACCCCAGCCAAGATGGAGTCTATGATCAAGGATGACAATGGTATCTGTTCTTTCTATCATTTTTGTGCTGTCTGTTTCCCAGCCCCATGTTCTGCAAACTTCTAAGATTTTTAGATAAGGTCATTCACCTTCACAAATATCTAGTGTGGGAAGTTTACATTGACTTGGGTTGACAGTGTCAGCAGTTTTATTTTTGTTGGCAGTTTTGGCAGTTTAGAATTGTGTTCATTGTGTTTGTTTTGGCCTTTTGTTGGTGTTGACGTATTGGGTACAGAGATTACCTGTTGGCGCATTAAACATGGGTTTGGCTCTTAACTAAAATGTTCAGATTGTATGGTGCAGAATCTATTCATCTGTGGCTCCTTTGTAGTAAACTTCAATGACAATGTTTGCTATTTTTTATAGATTTATTTATTTATTTTATTATTATTTTTACACCTTCTGAAACAGTTTGGAGGTGTACCCTATAAATAAATAAATGTATTGTTGGTTTCTGTAGGATCTGGCACAGAGTCGGACAGTGATGACTCAGTTCCTGAGCTGGAAGAACAGGACTCTGCACAGACACAGACGCAACAAGCTCAGGTAAGGATTAAAGTTCAGTCCTGCATATTTTTATTTGTATTGACCACAGTTTAAATTCAACATTCTGCCATGATAGCATGATTTTTACTCTTCAAAGATGATTAACATAGTGACTTTCGTTCTTCTGAGCTTAATGAAGCCACTTCTATGTTCTGAGAAGATGTTTTTTCATTTTAAAAATGTATTAATTTCTTCTTAATTTTTATGCTGCCCTAATCCATAAAATTTCTATTTCTTATAGCTTGCAGCAGCTGCTGAAATAGACGAAGAGCCTGTAAGCAAAGCCAAACAGAGCCGAAGTGAAAAGAAGGCACGAAAGGTAATGACTGTACTCTCTTTGTTGTACAAACGCAGACAGCTTTTTCTGGATTTCTGCCACATTCGTAACACTATTCCACATGATTTCAGGCGATGTCAAAGCTTGGACTCAGGCAGGTAACAGGGGTTACCAGGGTCACCATTCGCAAATCAAAGAACATCTTGTTCGTCATCACCAAACCAGACGTCTACAAGAGCCCTGCGTCAGATACATACATCGTCTTCGGTGAAGCTAAGGTAACTGTCCAGCATCAGTGTCTTCAACAAGAATCAAACCACTTTATAATAACCACTATTTTTTATTAACCTAGACCAATTTTGTTTCCAAAGAAAAACCCTCTTGATTTACCAATAGAAAAGCCAAAGTATGTAACATTTCATGTAGGCCTTACTTATATGGTTGTATCAAAGCAGCAACTTGATATGTATTAATGGAGACTGAAACTCACTGTCGACATGTAGTTTTTATTGGGTTCAAATTATTTATTTGGACATCATTAATTAAAATTGATTTAATCGGCTACACTGAGTCTACATGTGAAGAAATGTGTAAACATTTCCATTAACATTTTTTCAAGTGATAATGTAACAGACAACTTTTTTAAGTTCAGTATGCATTTTCCATCTATAAAATAAAAAGTAAATCAAGTATTTCAGATCTCTTTATAAGCTACTCCATCATGCCTGGCATGCAGTTCACAGAACCTGACAGCAGCACCTGCTTTCTTACTTCTGACTATTACAGCTTTGCTCATTGCTTCATATGTCATGTTTGTTTCACAGGAGAATAAAACAAACACGGAGGAGAAGAAATTGGGCAAATAAGAATGCTCTCAAAAAGATTGACTAAAAATATCAATACTGACACTTCCATCATAGAAATCATTGATTATGTTGACGAATGACAGCAGCCCTGCTATTTATAAATGCCTCTAACGGCGTCATATTGATAGTGAATCTATTGAAGCCTACTCATGTAACAATCATATTTTTTTCTCATTTCAACTGTGCCACAGATTGAAGATCTTTCTCAGCAAGCCCAGCTGGCTGCAGCAGAAAAGTTCAAGGTACAGGGAGAAGCTACAGCAAAGATCCAGGACAACACACAGACACCCACAGTACAGGAGGAAAGCGAAGAGGAAGAGGTAAAATGTCATTATTCCCCAGTGATAAATTAATGCTGCTTTGTGGCAAAGAAAATACGGGAGGGAAAAACGTAACATTTCTATAATTTGATATGTAGGTTGATGAGACCGGAGTCGAGGTGAAGGACATCGAACTCGTCATGTCACAAGCCAACGTGTCACGGGCAAAGGCTGTACGCGCCCTGAAAAACAACAACAACGACATTGTCAACGCTATTATGGTGAGAATTCAAAACTTTTATTTGTGAAAATTGATTTAATATGACTCTTCTGTGATGATTTAAGACAGTGACTTTCGTTCTTCTGAGTCTACTGAAGCTAAGATTTCTGTCCTGAGGAGAGAAACTCTTAGAAGCTCTGTTCAACAGTGTTTTGAGCTCGTACTGACCTGGTGTTTTTTGGTTGCTTTGCAGGAGTTGACGATGTAACGAGATCCTGTCAACAAAGAGTTGAAGAAAGGTTGCTGATTAAATCTGAGCTCATTTATACAATTTATACCGAGATGGAAATAAAGTTGTGGCTTGATGAAATTAAAATCTGGCATTTATTGGGTCTCTTGGGGAAACGAGGGGAATTTCACCTGATTGAATGTTTAAAAAAGACTTGCAGTACTTTTGTTTTTTTCCACTGGTGAAGTATTTGTCCTTGTATAATGATGAAATCCAAAGTAGTCATAATAAAGGCTTTAAAAGTCAATTTTTCAGAGTGATGAGCAGGAAGAGTTGCAGCTGTAACATTATACCATCCTCCAGATGAGGAGAATATCATGTCCTTTGCTGTTTTATTCACCTCTGTCTGTATTTGGCTTATTTATTTACACCATAAAGACAAACTGAGTTTAGTGTCCTGATATGTAAAATAATAGAATTAAAACTTGGTGTACTCACATTTCACCTTGTATTTACGCTCATGCATAATTTAAAATTACATAATAAAGGCAGGATTGTGAAGTTCCCATCACATGTCTTAATGCTATACCTGACAGTCTGTGCTTTACCCACACCAGCTTTTAGACATGGAAGATCCCAAAAGTGAGAAATTAAAGCTGATGGTCTCCTCTGCCTCCCACTCAACTGGTACAACAAGGTAACCACAAGGTAATCAGGGACACTGACAGCAATCAAGATGTCATTTTATTGGAGCTATTCACTAATTTATTTATACATTATAATTGACTATTAAGAAGGTAATCAAAACAGAATTTAACTATTTGCTAAGGGAACTTGGGATAAGAAAATATTTGAATATTCAAATTTATAACAGGTCTAGCTATTAAATGTTTACTTCTCTATTAGATATTCAAAACAAAGTTTTACCCAGGAAGAGATATAAAGAGGTCTACAATTCTCTTCCCAATATTTTATTCATCTTATGATCCATAGGAGTTTTATTAATCTATCAGAGGCTTACAAAGACAACAAGACTGTCTTGGTTTGTCAAATTGAAAGCCTAGTAGGCCTAATATCAGGTAATGACCTGATAGAAATTAAACTCTAGAGAACTGAAATATTTTTTTATGTGTTGGACTATTTTTTTTTCTTCTTTTCTGAAATTATGTTACATAATCTAAAACATTAAGCTTTCATTTCATAAAACTAACTTAAAGCCGCAAATGTTGCAGGACTGTTTTCTAGACTTTTCATTATTAATTAAAGGAGATGCCATTTTATCAGATCATTCTTTAGCTAATTTTGAGTGGAGTTGCACTACATAACGACACCATCTTTATTTCTATTTTCAATCTTTAAAAATCTAGAAAAAAAAACATCAAAAAGTGGGTGGGTACATTTTCTTTGGATGCTGATATGGAAAGTTATAACAACAAAAAAAACATTTCACCATTTCCAACGGTAAAATAGATCTGAAGAGTATTGATGGTACTTTTTGACATTTCCCTGTGGAAATATAGTCCATGAAAAAATAACTAAAATCTTTTTATTTGGTTCTTATATCCACGTTATCATTTTCAGCCAAAGTTATTGACCCTTTATGAAAAATCTAACAACTGGCCAGGCATTTATGTTCTACCTTGTGTTGATCTATACTTTGGCACATGTAAAAATGTCTCCAAAAAACCTCTTATGTTTTCATCAAATCTTACATTTTTACGCTTTGTCTTTAGACCACATGTGAGTAACATTAGGGCAATTATAGATGGACAAAGTCTGTTCATTTCCGCCAAATCTCAGGCATATTGAGAATAATCTCAGAAATGTTTTCAGAAAACACTTGGAAATGTCTGAGCTCCAAATGTCCAAAGAAAAAAAATACAGATATTTCTGAGTTTCAAAAAAAAATAAATATTAAAAATGTTAAGATTTTATGAGCTCCAAAAACTCAGAAGTTTTCAGATCAATGTAATATAAAAAGTCGAAAATGTTTGACTTTACGAACTCAGTCGATTTTAGAAGTTTTTCTTTAGAATTTCTTAAACATTTTCCTCAATTTTATTTGTTCTTGCAAAATGTAGACGTTTAGAGCTCAGAAATAAATTTTTAAAAATCCAGAAAATGTAGGGGGTTTTTTCTCGCAAAGTTTCGTTTTTCTTAAACATTCCTTGATTAACGTCAGTGCCCTGGTGTTTTTTTTGTCTCCCTCTATCTGCAATGCACGTCGTTATACATGTGTGATAGTTTTGTTCTGGTCAATATTAAACAAGCTACTTTAAATTAATAGAAAAGATCATTCAAAATCAAATACTTTTGTAATCCCAAATGGAAATCAAGTGCTGTTTTAAATTATATTACTTGGTTTTGTGCACACTTATTTTTTCCTGTCCGTAAATAATTGATCAAACTGTATTTCACTGAAAGCCAAGCGGGCATGACTTGCAGGAGGTTTTGCCGTGAAACGCCCCGCCTCTCACATCTCTCGCGGCTGAAAGCTCTAGAAACATCTCCTTCCCTTCCGACTGCGTCAGTTCTGCTATTCTCATTCCAGCGTACGTAAGAAAATCCGGTGTGTAGCCCACAAGCTAGCGGCGTCTGCCCGGGTCGTGTGTGAGCGGCGGTTTCTTTTCTTAAAAAAAGAAAAGAAAACAAGCATTATCATTTTTCTTCTAAGGCTGGTTTATCTTCTGAAAAGGAGCCCACTTCACGCCGAGAAATGTAAGTTGTGGAGAGTGGACGGGAGGAGGCAGCGTGTGGAAAGTGCGGTAGCTTTGGTGTCGCTGCCCTCATAACATGCTTTTGCAAAGGCGGGAGGTTTGGCCTTGCTTATATGTAGTGAGAGCTTGTTGACGTTAACTTGACTTTAACCTGACATGTGAAAAGCTAGCAGTGTCCGGTTACAGTAATATCCGGTAAGCCCGCCGTTAAACCGGGAAGTTGGCTATTTTTGCGGGTTCTTCGGGGGCACCGCATGGTTTCAGTGAGGACAGTAGCCTTGTTAGCATAGCTAGCTGTGCTCATTGAGACTTCTGGAAGGCTCTGTCATTAGATTAGCACCTGGGCAGTGGAAGTAGTCAGGATGTTCCCGCTGAACAGAAAATCTGATGGATTTTAACACTAAATCCAAGCATTTAATTGCTACTTTATTTTTAAGAGAGAGCAGTTAGATACTCAGAAACTTAAAGCTACTAGCTAAACTTAGCTTTGTAATTAACCAAACTCTCTTTAGAAATGGTTTGCCTCCTATCAAATTACTTGTTGTATAATTTTCCTTTTCAATTTTTACTGGGAAAAGGGGAAAAAAAGAAATTATCCCTCTTAAAAACAAGCGTCCATGTGCACGTGCTTCTGATGACATCACACCAGGCAGCTAATAGCTCTGGTGTTTTTGACTTGTATATTTTAAAACAATTTCTTGTTATTACGCGTTTACTTGCATTCAGAATAAAACAGATGGGCCCCATGTGAATTAACACATGGATTTCCGTTACCTTTGGTACAGATAAAACAGATAGAACTGGTTTATGTTGAGCAACAGGATGGACTGGTATGTGCATATTTGATCAAAGGTATCAGATCATTCTTTAGCTCATTTTGAGTGGAGTTACAGTACATGACGGTGTTTGAGTCCCAGTGATTCTTTCAACATCATTCCAATGTCAACTCAAAATATAAATAAAAAAAAAATTCACCAGTCAGAGTGGTTCATTAAAAAGATGTTCAGACTGCCTACCCTACAACAGTGGGAATGCATGTAATTGTTTAAAGGGATACAAGTAGAGAAGTTAATTTTATGCCCTGAAAAGTATTCATAATTGCATAGGGACATCTCGGCCATATTGAGGTTCAAACACCCATCACAGCCCAGATAACTTGAATATTTCAACATGTGTACAAAAAAAAACTCTCCTATACTCAGGGTGTCCCTTCCTTTCAATGCACTTTTTAAAAATCGCCTAACCATTCAGAAGCATGAACCACAACGACAAAAACAATCAGTCTGATCAGATGGGTCAGAGTAATGCCAATTCTGCTGTCATATGTAAACATTTCCTGTTTGTCGAAACACCAGTCTTTCCATAGTAGTCAATAACTTCATGAATTATTAATTTAATAAAAACAATTGAGGATGACTTATCTTAATTTGACTTGTCATGCTTTAGTATAGAAAAATGCTTTACTTTTGTCAGAGAAGAGTATGTAACTTGAGGCTCTGTGGCAACCTGACACAAGGTCTTGTTGAAGGCCATCTGTTCTTAGAGACATCGGTAGCAAAAACATTTGGTGTGTGTTGATACAGGTAATCTGTAGTTACCTCTGCTGTGCGATTAAAAAGCTGTAGATTTAAAAAATAATGACTGTGTTGTTAAACATTTCCCAATTGAGAATTTGTCATTACAGTTGCACATTAGCATATATTTTGGTTTTCTCCCAGCTGTAGCTCAGTAAGAATTTCTTTTGTAAGAAATGTGATTTAGATGCAGAAAAACCACTGATGTGACTATTTAGTCCTAATAAAAATGATGGCCAGCCCTTTAATAGAATGAAATCTGGTTTTGTAATCAAATCTGTGAACCATAATTAACCAAAACTTGATTTATGGCACTTACCTTGATTGGTTTAATCTGAAATGGCAGATACCCTGACTAAGCTTTTCCTGGCTGATGCTAATTTCCAGTTTTATTTCATTTTTTTGGGCCTGCAGGTTGCCAATTTCCTTAGGGTTTTTTTTCCTCTGGACTATAACACTCAAGAGAAATGTTCTGCAGGTTCTTTCGTAGAAGTCGTGGTTTTGAAATCAAAGAAAATTAAGGCGTTGCAACACTATGTGCAATAGAATAAAGCAGGTAAAGCATATGCTGTTTGACGCTTTAATTGAAAATGGTGTAAGTTGTTAAAAATCAATTTTTATTTAGGTATTTAGCCGATTATTTAACGGTATGAGTCAATTCAGTGTTTTTTGCTTCCCATTGAATAGCTATAAGAAGTCTTAACCTTCTCTATGTGTATTCTTATTCTTTCAGGCTTCCAGCAACTGCTAAGTGGTACGACAGGAGGGATTCTGTTTTTATAGAGTTCTGTGTGGCCGACAGCAAAGATGTTAAAGTTAACTTTGATAAAACAAAGTGTGGATTCAGGTATGTGTCCAAATAGTTGAGTGTATTACAATATTATTGTTAAATCCATGCAGATAAAATTTAACACTTTATTCTTGCAAATTTCTCCCACAGCTGTGTTACTGGAACTGATAATGTTAAATTGGAGAACCAAATAGATCTTTTTGAAGCTATCGATGAAAATGTAAGTTACAGCTTCATTCAATAAATAGACACAGCGCTGAAAAGGTTCACGAAAAGTTTTTTTTCCCCCCTGTCTCTCTGATTCTCTTGTTGCAGGAATCAAAACATAACCGCACAGATCGTTCGGTCTTGTGCTATCTACGAAAAGCACAACCGGGAAAGGCGTGGCCAAGACTAACAAAAGAGAAGGCTAAGGTTAGTTAAGTATGCATGACTAAAGCAGGTTCAGTCTTATGGAAAAACTTGAGCACTGGTGAATTTCAACTTGCTGAAATTTATGTACAGTTAGCAACCTGAAATTCACAATACCATTACAGCAGTTACTATGAAAAAACAATCCCTGCCTGAGGATAAGATTGGTTTGAGATGTTGAATAAAAGAAACATAAATTTTATTACTTATATATTTATATGTATCTTTTTAAACAGGCATATGGCAAAGATAATAATCCTGGTCGTCTTTGTTCACAGGTGTCTTGGCTGAGTGTCGACTTCAACAACTGGAAGGACTGGGAAGACGATTCAGACGAGGAGTTGGGCAACTTTGATCAATTCTCAAATGTAAGTGCTTTGAGATTACTACTATTGAGTTGGAACATAAAAGAAAATTCCTTCATTGAGGCTTGTGGGTGCCTTTATAGGAATTAGTCCCAATAAGTTGATTTATTTGTTTTTTAAGCAATTCAGTTTGAATAATAAAACTCATTCACAGTCTTATATTAAACACCTCAATTTTGATGACACTTGCATACAGTTATTGTAAATCTAGTAAATACAAGAATAATACAAACACGTTATTAAATAAATGCATTTTCATCATGGCTGCGTTTTTGGCTATCTTATGTCGTTGGTGTTGACCCTTACTTGCAGTACACTCAGGGTATATTCTTATCATCTCGCAAGCATTCGCACCAGAAACACTGTTTCTGGTGTTATGACTATATCAACTTAGCTTTTAAGTTGGTCACATTAGCTTGTTTGAACAAAAATTAAATAATGAATGTAATATTGACTTTATTGTTGCAGATGATGCGCAACATGGGAGGAGAGGATGACCTGGATAATCTAGATGTTGATGCAGATGGTGCAGATGATGTAAGACTTTATGAATTTTTTTTTACTTTTCGTGCTTTATTAGGTTTTCAGTTTTTAGTGAACTAAAATAAACTTGCTTATCAAAACTCAATAAATCTTTGCAATCTGAAAGTTTGAATATTTCTTGTACTATTTCTTCAAGTCCAGTAACAGTAAGATTTTCAGACATTATTTCCTTTTTCTTATTTTCAAATAAAAATCTAGATTTCTAAAAAATACTTACGGACAACATTTTCCTTTCATAATCTTACGTGTACCTACCAAAGCACCAATCCTAAAGATGACATTTGAACCAATAATTTGCATGACTGGAATAAAAAAAATGCTTATTTAAGGGAGTGGTAGCAAGATTGAGGACATAGTCTGCCATCTGGAAACATAAAGAAGAGAAACACTGAGCTTTACATGAATGAAGATGGACACTTACCGACATGATTTAACCATCTTTTCTCCTAAAAAGCTACTAGTGACAAAACTAGAAGTATTTGTTTCTTTTATAAAAATTTTTGTTTAGTAAATCTGACTGCACGGCATCAACCCCTTTCACTGTGTTGTTTGCTTAAGTTAACGGTGAAGTTTATCTCTTTAACCCAAACTTTCCGTTTTCGTTTGTCTTTAAACTGTAGGATGACTCTGCAGATAGTGACGATGAGAGTAAGTATTCATGTATATTTCTACAGAGCGCAACCAGAGCAATAATTTTCTTTGCATGGATTCAGTGATGCCTATTTTTCACTTTCAGAAATGCCGGACTTGGAGTAAGGTGTTGTAAAGAAGATGGAAGAACGGAGGATGAGGGAGAAATCTTAACAAATGTATATCTTGAAACTGAAGACAGTGACAACCAACTGTACATATGAGTCAGTAGCCATATTTAAATCCATAGCCTCCGCTCCAAACTCTTTGACCAGTCGGTCTACCTAAGGTTGATTTGCATGGTATTGTACAGAGCAGCTATCTCCATGTCCATTTGCTGTACTGCACCTGTTTTGGGGTATCTTGTTTTAATGTTAAATATTACAACTAAGCACACATTTTATTTGTTGGGGAAAAACTGTCTAGTTGTACCTAACGGAGCAATACATGTTAAAAGTTGCCGTTTTTCAAATGAGTTGCTTGAAAATGATTGGACCCCCTGTAGGTGATGTTGTGATTTTAAAGATAGTCCACCTAGTGTAGTGTATCTCATGATTTAAGAATTAGATGCATTGACTGATTGGGTCCTCTAAAGACTTCCATGTGCTGTAATTTAGTTATCCAGGAAGCCTGTTTCTGTAGCTTGATCTTGCAGCTTACATGTCCCCCTTTCACTTATGAAGTGTCTGTAAACCTGGATCAATCTAAAACCATCACAGGATGACTTGCTTTTCTCCAGTTGTCACCTACTGCAACAACAGATTGGTTTCCATTAATTGGTTGAATTCATTAAAAGCTCCTCTCTTATTCTGTCACCTAGCTTTCACATATATCTGATAAGAGGCGAGTTAAAGTGTTTTGCAGCTGTTAAAGTTTGGTTAAGCCTCAGAATTATGTGGTTTGTTGCTCTCCTACAGTTTTTTTTTTAAACCCATACTCCCTCCTGGTTTTTGGACATTGTTGGAACTAAAATAAGTAATGACCAAATCATATTTGCACTGTTGAAAATGTAAGAAGCAAGTACTATTCAATTACAGTGAAAATGTTTTTGTTTTTTACTGTCTACATCTTTCTAATAAACAGTTTAAGAATCGATGTCTTTCTTTTTCAGTTTTAGGTTTTGACTTTACACAAGACATTTATTTGATCAGATAATTATTTTTGCCAGATGTAAATCCAATTTCCAGCTATGAAATAACACCTTGGTTTATGTTGGACTTTTCCTTAATAAATTAAAAAACTTAAGTTGTCTTTTTCTGTGTAAGTCAGATGTATTGCATTGGGACATTATGATAGAGCAGCCAAGTAAAAAGGAGGACTTGTTTACCATTTTGAAACATTTTCCAAAAGGTCTGGGGAAACAACTTTTTTTATTTATGGATTTATAACATTAAATGATATTTGTAGAATGCCTCAAATGGCTGGTTGTGAATACAGACAAGCAGTGGGTCAGCTGAACTGTACAGTAGGAATGAGGACAATAACTCCTCAATAGGGCCTTATACTGGAGATTTATTGAAGACGGGATGATTCTGATCAAGTTAAAATGCTTCACTGCAGTCTAAATCTTGACATATTCAGCTGAAAATATATTCAGAGATGCTTTCTATCCAGGTTTATCTTGAAAGTGAGATTTAAATTTTAAAACCACATGACAACCTCAATGCTAAAACACATGACCAAATGTATACTTTGAGCACATTTGGGCAACACAATAAAATATTTCAGGATGTAAATCTAGACTAACTTTATGAAACTGAACTAGATGTATTCTACTTACAGTGCTAATTACCTGAAAATTATTTTTAGTACTTATAATAAAAGATGCTTTCTGAGTCGTAGTCTATCGGCGCTAGGACCCAGAAAGCACCAGGATTTAAGGCCTAGAATAATATATTAGCATACTTCCTCTTTAGGCCCGATTTCCTCACAGATTGCCATTTATGAGAAAATTGCCACAAGATGCAATAATGTCGCTTCCTGTTTACACACCCGGCTGCAATAAAATAAAAGTTTAGAGCTAAAATAATAAATTAAGATATTGAAAACATAATTATTACATTTTTGGAAGTGTAAATATTTTAAATAGAAAATATTCAACGAAACAATTTCTGATTAATACGCGTGTTAGATGCTAGAAATAATTATGTCAACTGTATTTCACCGATTTATTCTATATTCACAATTATTTGCAAGTTTTATTTGATGCTGAATCAAATGAAAATGTTTTTTAGTGATGAAATAGCTTGTGCCGTTGGCTATAATTTAAATGGATTTGTTTGTTGGTTTTATTTCCCTGCTCTGTGTGTATGAACGGGTCTTGAACTTTGTTGAAGTACTTTTACCGGATGTGTGTGCGGCTTATTGTTGGGACGTTAACGCGGCTCCAGCTTCACTCTGTTCTGTGATCATGGCTGCACCGGACCTCAACAGCCATGTTTGCTAATTTAAAACCCAAAGGTTAGGGAATAGTTGTTTATAATTTATCGCTGTGTCATCTTCACCCACGCTTACCCGTTAACACGCAGGGGGTTTAAAGCCGTCGGCGCCTCCGGAACCCAAGGACTAAACAGAAAAAAGGTTGGCCTGTTTTGAGTGGAATATCGGTGAAACTTTGGATGGTGGCGGTGTAGGAGGATGATGCTCTGCAGAAATTGTCTGTGTGCGTAAACAATGTAACTTCATCTGGCAGCTAGCTAACGTTAGCCCGTCATAAAAAGGCAGTACGCCTCCGTTTATTAATCCACGAGTCTGTTTTTTGTGAGTTCGTTTATATTTTTAATAAACCGGCTTACATTTTTTCCATTCACCACGGGATAAACCAGCGTGGTTATGATACCTGCTAACGTCGCAGCCTACTTACTCCGGATAAGGATGCTATTAGTTAGCTTTATCTGTTAGCTTTGTTCTTTTGTGATGATGTAGCTAAATAACCTTGGGGGGTGCGAGGCTGATGTTCTCTGTTAGATATTCCGGGCATGAAAAGTTGCTGGGAACCCTTCGGACTCGCACTTTATTCTAACATTAAGGTGGAAATGGCCAGCACAGCCGTCTGGCAGCGCTTTGAAGTAGTGGCTGGTTCATTCGAGGGCGCTAAGCTAACGCGGCGCCTGCTGTTGCAACGGCCTCGTTGAATTAGGAAATCAAGATCCCGGAGGACTGTCGAAAACTGGTAAACAGCCACTGCTGTTGTCAACGGTTCTTTAAAATATCAATACATTATTAGTTTATCCCCTCGCCTCCCTCCACTGCCGCCCTGATGATGTTTCGTGCTTGTGTTTCTACCTGTAATGAACGTTTTTCGTCTGTGCTCGTATTAGCAGCGCCTCATCAGCGGTAATGATGAGCTCCTACCGTAATATTCGGCTTGTCCATTACACTCGCTCGGGCCTGGCATCTGCTGCTGCTGCTGGCTGCGACATTTTAACGGCCGCTGCCGTTGGTCCCAAAATGCTGTCACAAAATCATTTAACCAGGCTATCCGAAACAAAGCAGAACTTGGTTATTTGTGATGTCTTTAATTTTAATGGAGACTAATAACAGACTAGTGTTGTGATTCTATTTTATTTTGGGGTTTTTTCTTTCTTTTTTTTTTTTAGATGGACTCAAATAACCATTTCAACTATGGCACCTCAACAAACTCAGGACTGAAACTCTCCTCAGGGGATTCTCTTTATACTAACGGGTCCTCCATGAGTTTTCCTCAGCAGGGGAAGAGTGAGTATTACATCCTTTAATACACGGTTCAAACTCAAGGTCTGGGGGCCAAATCCGGTCCGCCATAAGATTCTGTATGGCCCTGTACACTGGAGAGGGTCACATAAAACCTTCAATGCCATCTTGGCATTGTGTTAATCCACAAGCATATTTACATAACTGCTGAGAGAAAGGCAAATTAGTGTGATTTTTAAAAAAAATTATCAATATTTTTTAGCCAAGCACCAATATAAAAAATTGGCCCAATATTTGATATAAATACCACTGAAATAGCTGATAACCATTATTTGCCTATAATGTATATATTTCATTGTTCTTTTGACGTCTTACAAACAAAACTTCGACACTTCAATTAAGCTTCCCAGAATCCTGCACTCCATCACTATCACTGTCACATGGCCAAACAAATACCACATGACCAACTCCTCCCCCTGCCCTCTGTAAAAACAAATGGCAATAAGATAGAAATCGATATCGGTTGCTGATATCGGCTCAGTTTTATTTATTGGGCCGATGTTGATGTGTATATATACAGACTATGTGGAAAAGCTTTTCCAGGGTCAAGTGCTGCAAATTACAACAAAAATAACCATGATACAAGCATGGGACTGCAGTTTTATTCAGTTTTGATATGTTAATGTGTCTCTCTATATCAAATAAACCTAATACATAAATATTAAAAAAAAAATCATCTGATATCGACATGTGAAATAATGATCACAACATAGGAGAATCAATGCACACATTTCCTGAACTAAAATCCTCTTAATTTAGTTGATTTTGGAATAAACATGTTTTTTTGTTTGAAGAGTTTTTTTTAAGCTGTTTTTGCTCTCTAACAGATCTGAATGGCGAAATGAATGTGAATGGCGTCACTACTGTACACGGGTCAAGCGTGTCTGGTTCCCACCCCCAGTCAGCTCCTTACCCGCACATGAGCGGCCACCACCAGGTGGCCGTTGGCTACGAGTATCTGTGGGGAGGGCTCCCTCAGTATGGCCCTGGCATGGGCTCTTCATCAGGGCAGGGGGTCCACCAGAAGCAGCCGGTGCCTGGGATTGCACAGCCTCAGTCACAACACCACTTCCAAAGCCACGGCCAGTACCAACTGAACGGCGGCGTGGAAGCGTCCCACCAGCCCTCCATCGCAGGCCAAACAAACGTCCCTCTAACAGGCAACAGCCAGTATTGGAACAGGAGCAATCCCACCCAACAGCAGATGAGTTATAATTCCCCCAGCATGTATGGGAGCTTCCAGAGTCAGTCTCATCCTGGCGTTACGCCTTCCCCACATCACCAGCAGCAGACCTTACAACCGCCCCCCCATCAACCATCTCAGCAGCCCCTCCTCTCCCACCATCAGCCTCACCATCACCAGCAGCAGCAGCAGCATTACAGTACGATGACAAATGGGATGCCCTTCTACCAGCCCCCCCAGCAGCAGCTGCCACAGCAATCTCAGTCCCAGACTCGCATGATGCCCCCATCTGCCCAAAACTTCACCCCACCCCGAGGCAGCCCACAGCACCACAGCTTGGGCAGAGGGAGCAGCAGCAGTCCTCTGCCAGTGGGGATGTCGCCATCACCGGTTGTATCACCACCAATACAGGACAGTGGGTCACCCAAAGGTCTCAGCAGGGATCGCAGCCCCCACACTAGCAGTGCAGGAATGTCGTCTCCACTGCAAGGTGACCTTTTCTAATTATGATGGTATATTCTCGCTGTTTCCTCAGATCTTCATCTTGATATGTTGCACTGCTGCATATTGTCATTGCCGCTTTAAGGTTGAAGACATTTTGTGTCTTTGATTTTGATGACAAGTTAAACTTTCCTAGTCTACAATCTATTTCCTCCTTCTCATGTTTGGACATGAGTCATGGTTGTATTTCTGCTTTGCCATTACTGACATCGTCATCTCCGCTGAAAACTTGCACTTCCGTGTTAACAGAAGCCATAATGGAAATGCAGTGATTGTGAAGTTTCCCAAAAAAAAACCAAAAAACAGACTAGTTTCCAAAAAACAGGCTAACTTTTCTTGTGCGTCTATTGCATTATTAGGTTAGTTTCAGCTTTTACAGTAAGGCATTGGGATAGTACTAACATATCACCAGCAGGTGTCAGTGTTTTGCTTTTGGAAAATGTCATCTAGAATATTTATTTTGGGGAGAAGCCTTTTTATTTGCAAGAGGCATGGGCAATATGGACTTAAAGTTTTAACATGACATCTTGTGGTAGAATTATGATAGCAGCAAAAGTGACAATTTTAGCTTTTGTGGAGTAACTAGGTAGTGCTACAAACACAACTACTGCTCTTCAGAAACATTGCCGTTGATAATACGCTTCTTTAGAAAGTGTGACTTATATCATTAAGTTGCACAAAAATAGTATTTTTAAATGTATTAATATTTTTTTATGCTTTCAATGAAAAAACATTGAAAAGAAAAAGTAAAAATAACAATCCTGATCATTTTTAGGGATGTAAACATCATTGATTAGAATTTATTGTGACAATGATAAATCAAAATTGTTATAAGAAATTTATTATGATAAACAATACAACAAATACCCACCACCAATTCACAGTGATATTTAGTTGTACATCTTAAAAAGATGTGAAAAGCCTTCTGTAAAGTTTGAAAAATAACACTGTAAGATTTCAGAAAATTAACTCTAGATAATGAGAAGAGTTTCTCTTCTCCTATGATTACAAATATAAACATGTACAATTTGTTCTAATATTCACTCATACCATCAAAAGACTGATGCGAAAACGTTCAACAACAAACCTTTCAAGGAGGTTTGGTAATAAAAGATGAAAATGTGGAAAAGCCCCTCATTCCCACTGCTGTTTCATAGAGTATATGGCAGCTTCAAAACTTCAAATTTCAAAACACCAGGACAGATGTAATAAAAAGAGAAGTGGAGAAAAAAAATTAAATTGGGTCATCATATGATCTTCCAACAGAGAAATTGTTCATGAGGCACAAAGTCAACCTTCTTTCAAGGCTGTCTCCGTCCAAATACCTAAAACAAACCCGAGAAGACTATGGAGCATAAGAGGCAAACAAGACTTTGACGTCTGTTAAACATTTTAGGTGACTGAGTGATGTCCTTTTTCCCCCTCATTGAAGAAATGAAACCAAATTATAGGTTGAACTTTTGTCTAAATTATTTTGACATATTTGTCTGTGACTGCATAGTAGGATGTTGTTCATACTAAGATGAAGTACCAAATGTACCATTTAAAAATACTTTTGATTGACTTTACTAATAGTTTTGACATTTTGATTCTTTTCTCCTTTAGGGTTTTCACGGGAAGCTGTTCAGGAAGTTGATGCAAGCCACGCTGGCAGTGAAAAACCACCTATTGTCCAGAGGTCACCAAAGACTGACAGCTACCAACTTAAACCTTCTGCTCCTCATGCGACTCCTAAAAGTGATTATTGTCAATATTCCGATCAACCAGCAGCTCCGTATCCAGAAGTTACTCCCCATGTCAGAGATGCAGTCGTTTCCTCACATCTCCAGCATGTAACCTCTCCACTTTCGGCATCTAGTTCAGTGGCCTCGATGTCTCTTATGAAGGCTTCGACTCCACCAGGGGTCTCCAGTTCATCTGGATCTCCAACATCTGCCTCCGGGCCACCTGTGGTGTTATCCGGTGATGTGGATGTGCCCTTCCCTTCGTCTTCTGCTGCTTCTTCAAGAATGTCCTCACCTCCTATTGTAGTCCAAGGCCTGAGGTCTTCTACTTCACAAGTGTCGAAAACATCTCCCCTAGGTTCCAAGCTTCTGCCACAGGGGCACTCTTCCTCTCTGATTCATTCAAACATGTCGAGTGAGAGCATCTCTGTTGGCACAGTTTCTTCGGGCCCTCTTGCCTCGTCTTCATCTGAGTTTTTAGTTGATCAAACCAAGTCTGTAGTTCCTCCTACATCCTCTAAACCTACTTGTGTTTCTCCTCCTGCTGTCGTCTCTATCACTTCTCAATCGGCAACCGTTGCATCTCCAGTGTTGCTGATGTCTCACGGGTCCAAGCCAGTTTTGCCGCCATCTGTCGCCAATGCATTTGGAGGTCAGCATGACATACCTGCTCCCCCGAGGTTGATATCTGCTCCTTCATCTTTGAGTACAAATTCCTCATCTCAGAGTGTGGCATCTTTGAAGATTCCAGCGTCTTCACCTTCAATGTTATCTGTCCCCAGTTTATCAGCGCCTGCAGGAGGAACCCCTTCAGTTGACAGTAAACTTTCTGAACCAACTTCAGCAACATCCCAGTATCGCAAACACACTCCTCCAGCTGTCGACACAAGTCTTTCCACTGCTTTTGCAGCATTGACGCCACCAAAATTGGTGAAAGCACCCTCTGTGACAGCCCAAACCGGCTCTCCGGTCCGACCTCCATTCACCCTACCTCTAACCACTCAAGCCTCCAGGACTGCACCTTTGTCCAACCCTCCTGCCTTGGTTTACATGCCTCCGCCGATGGGGACGTCTTCTAAAGCTGTCGGAAACTCTGACTCTCCAAACCTCCCAACTTCTTCTCTGATGTCAGAGCGTCATGCTCCTGGTGAGGAGAAGAGGGAAGTGGAAAATAAAAGGAACGGAAAACCAGACCATAGCTTATCCCAGCTGGATTCAGACCTAATAAGGACTGAATCCCAGATGGTTGCGGTTGAAACCAAGAAGCCAGAAGTCTACCAGTATAACTCTCCTACTGATCTGCCAGGAAAATTGTTACAAACGCCTGAAAAAAATCTCCAAAATGCTTCAGATTTAGA